CGTATTTAAACTCGGAATAAACGGGACGCGTATAATCGTTCTAAAAGCCTGAACCGTGCTGGTTGTAATTTCGTTCGGATGATATGGGCGATGGCGGCGGCCAACGATTTCGAACGATATCGTTGCGCGTTTCGTGTTTTACGAGGACCCACCGCGTGGAGAGTGCCTGTTTGGTGCTCCAGTCGTGTCGGTTCCGTCGGCAGGCATGCGGGCATATGTGCTCATTGTGAGCCACGACAGGCGCGATCAAATGAGCAGTCCCTGGCGAACGGTACGCGACAATATCCACGAAGAGCTTGGCTATGTGGTGTCCCATTCGAGAGCCCTTAAAGGTCCTATGTAGAATCGACAATTCGAGACGATTGGTAAGCTGAGAAATAAATATTCAGGATATGCAGATGTTCTGTTTTTCGAAAAACGGATACAGATAATTGCAATAGAATGGTAATGTATTATATCATGTGCGCAACAGGAATATTAGGTATGTAAATGTATATAAGAAGTCACCTTGCAGAAATCATTTGAACAAATCCAATTCACACAAAAACCAAAAAAAAAAACGAGAAAATATATAAAACCAATTCCGAGTCGAACATCGAAAACTGTTTCTCATGGGGACAAAACCCGAAGGTTTCTCTTCAACAAGAAAAAGATCAAGCAAAGAGTTGACGAGCGCTTGCGTAACAATTATAAAAATTCAATCCACCGAAACGAGCCGAAGGGCGCGTGTCCAGTAATCTCAAACCAGCGCCGTATCATTAGAAGATTACGAATCCCCTCGAGGTTCTAGGGTCTATGGATCCTTCAACTCGAATTCCGTTCTCGCCCCCTCCCACCCTCTGGTTATATACGCGAGTAGGGTCGTCGAGAATCGAGAAAGAAGAGAAACGAAGTGCATTCTGGGAGCAGATGCGTTTCTGTCAAAACACTCGCGATGTGTGTCACGTAAAAACGTGTGGACGTAATAATAGGGTGTCTCTGATCGGGAGGATCGTGCCTTCAGCCCAGTTTCCCGCGAGTACACGCACGCAAAGGTCCTCGATCTTCCTTGGGTGATCGTGTTTAGAGAGAAACCCCGCCTCCGCCACCTCCTACGCCTTTGTCGACGAAATTAGAGTCCGGAATCATTGGTCGTAAATTCTCCAGTCGCGAAGGAGACGAACGAAGAAGGGGGAATTGCTTTTGGGGAACATCTTTGCGAGACGAACGCGTCGAGGGTATACCTGAAGAATGGACCAGAATTATTACTTATTACACTCTTCTCCTGACTGTACTTCCATTTTTCGCGAAACCTTTCCTTGGTCCTGAACTGTAAAAAGAAACAGGAATTCACCAAAATTATTCTTATTACACTCTTCTCCTGATTTTATTTTAATTTATTCCTCACGATATTCAGGTGTATGGTCTTTTAGGTTGAGGACATAAACCCTTGCTAGATGTTTTCTTTACAGATTTTTACAGATTATTCGATCGTCTTTCTGACACAGCACAGAAAGTGTTTTTTATTTCTCACGTATTCCCGCCCTGGGGACAGCTTTTATCAACCGGTCTCTCGCGCCTAGCTTCCTGTGGTCTGACGATAAACGATATCGTACCTCGTTACAGATTACCGAAATCGCAGCCGAGGCGCTTCATTAAGCCGTCGACGGGGGAACCACAGGAACCGCGTGGCTCCGATAAAATTCCATAACAGCGCCCGGCAAACGAGTCCCGTTCTCGTCACGAAGGCATCGTTAACTCGTTCGACGTTTAAAAAAAAATCGACACGTTTTCCATTAACGACAAATGAACGTTAACCCTCCAAATATTCCTCTCCCTTTAATTCCCTTTGTTTGTCATGAAAAATTGTGATCGTCCCTCTATACTTCCAAGCCTGCTGCAATCTACACGCAATGAAACGCTTTTTTAAAATGTTTCGATACTAGAATCGAGTAAAAAAAGTTCATACCCCGTTAGTTTACTCGATCTTCGTTCGTCCAACCTGTTGGTTCCCCACTGTCCGCTACAAGAAATAACAACCCATCTTAATCAGGATCAAGATCCGTGTGTTTACCGTTTCGTTCGGACGTATCGAGAAGATATTACAGAAAAAAATTTGGTAGGACCTCGAGGAATTTCACGATAGGGGAGCGAATGGGCGGTGGGGGGTGGCCAATCTCGTGTATCGTTTTGTATTTGTCGAAAACAGACGTATTGTCCGCGGGGGGTGTGCGAGGGGCCAGAGAATTCGATGGCCCAGCGGGAGAAAGGGCCCTGTAGGCACTCGTCGCATCTGCCTTCGATTTATTTCCAATCGTAATTGATGACTCTCCTGGCCCCCGGCACCTTTTTGCTCTCGCACCTCGATTCCTCGAGTGGGCAACCCCCGAAACTTCCATTCAAACGCGTCTGGAAATCGTGTCATTGCTTTTGCATAATAGTTCCTCTCCGAGAGTCACGCACCGGCCAATAAATTATCCAGTTCCCATTAACGACACGACACCTCTCACCGGAGCTTCTGCTTTTCCAAAATTCCACCGTGTTTCGACGCTGTTTGCAAAGGGACGACTCTCGAGTGGACACTACCGTGACGAACCCCCTCCCCTTCCTGTTTGCACATTCCGGCGGGAATTTTGAATGGATTATTATTCGCGTATTAGATACAGTCCCTGCGCAGGTTGAATAAAAAGTGTAAATATTCTAGTTTCACTCGCTCTCGACGGTTACTTTTCCTCGGGTTCGCGATCTCGAAGGAACCTTTCGTGGGAAGTGACAAGGGCCCCTGTTCCCCCAGTATCGGTTCGCCGCGAGTAGGGCTTCTTATAAGAATTCCAAGACGGGCATTATCGTCTTACATCGAGTCAGCGCGTAATTATCCCCCTTTCACGTGCGATCCTCCTGAAATTGTAGCAACTAGATTGATACTAACGACACTCTATTCAAAACAAAAGAGAAATGTTCGAACGCCGTTAATGTACTTTGCAAATCCTTTACATTTCACGTTCTTAAACATTTTGTTTACAGGTGATATAAACTGGGTAGAAAAGGGATTAGCAGATGACTGTTTTTAAGAAATAATTCCACAGACCCATCATTCCCTAAATTATGTTTTGCAACTCTATGACCCAATCAACAATAAGACTTTAATTTAACACATTCAAACGGTCACATTTATTCTGTAAAAAATTCGTTTCTTCCCATTGTCCAATTTTCATTCCTATTTACCACTTTTCTATTCTTTGACCATTTCTGGATAAAGGGATGAAGGGCAATATACATTGGGATTGATGGGATTCGACGCGAGGGGGCGTTTAAAACAATAAAAGCAGATTTACCAGAGGGAGGGAGAGATTTCAGAATGATCCTCGATTCGATGGGATCAACGGGCGCCCGATACTCCTGGATATCCACGCTCGAACGCCCACGGCATTATACCAACGAAAATAACCCCCCTAATGCAGCTCCCCGTCGCTTCGTAAATACGTGAGCGTTTACGTACACATCGGAGGTGGCCGACACGCCGCTACAAATCGTCCGTGATTTCTCTCGATTGGAAGAGTGAGATCTCACCCCCTGTCCAATAGCATTTTAACGGATCCGTCATTACCTTTCGAGACAACGGCGTCGAAAATCATTCCAGAAAGGATTACTTTTCGCTGTTCGATCGTTCAACACTTGGAACGAAAAGATTTTGCCGATTAATTTCGACTTACTTAATTACCAATCGGAAGATAATTCTTTGACCGAAATAGGATCGATGGTCCCTTTACATGTGGACGACACACCTCGATTTATAGTCTCGAATAGAAAAGCATGGACCTACCATTTTAGGAGGGCTCCCTTTAGGGAATTCTTGCAGGAGCTTCCAGAACATCGTGAAAAGGTTTTTCGATGTAACGTCGAAAATAAAGTTCCTTTTGTCCACGGTCGGTCGACGACGCGAGAGAATGAGTTCACGATCGTGTCCCGAAAGGAAACTGTTTCGTCACCATCTCACAGAACATTAATCAACGGTGCCAGGATATCTAGTCGGTCCTACAGAGATCGCAGATATTTTTCTGTACGTTTACCGCCGTCTTTAAAGTCAGACACGATCTGAAAGTAAAATTTACAATAAATTGTAACGGTATCTACTACATTTCAATAAATATTTTACGTTAAAAAACTGGAGAACTTAGTTAACGACCCGATAAATACTACTTCTGTTCTCGAAAACATTTCCACCGATTAAATATTCTCCGTCCCGTTCACTTACACTTTCGGTATCGAAATCTGCAAAAAAAAAAAACGAAAAGAACGATTCACTCATCTACACGGGACGTGTATCTACATATAGATAGGAAATGATTAACACGCAGGAATCGGTTCGACGGACATTACATTTAATCGATAAACAGCTTTATACAATCGGAGCGCGTTCTCCGCTCGCGCGGGTTTTCCCCGACGAGTGTGACTCACGTGGTTTCCGGGTGGGTAAGGGGGGGAGGGGAGGTGGGATCAGCAACGTTCCGCGATCCAAAAGAGCTCGAAGCCACCGATAAATTAACCTAAATCGTCTTTACAAATATGTACAATGCAACGAATAATCTGTCGAGGATCGCGCGCGTGCGAAAGCTCCGAGAATCCACGTCGAAGCGGGGGAATCGGCGGCGGAATTCCGTGGATGATCCCCCGTGAATCACGCCAGGATCGTTTAATCGTGACGCACACCTGTGGCTCAACCTTCTTTCGACCGTCAGGAATTCCGAAACGGATTCCCTCGTCTGTACGTTCCGTCCTTTCACCGACAGCGAGACCAATGACTTTGTTTTTCTTTCAAACGATCAAATTTCAGGCTTGAAAAAAATGCGACAGATGTGGCGAAAACGACGAGGACAGTTTTAAAGAGTTTCTAGCGAAAGACTGGAGCGTTTAAATACGCTCGTGTATGTGTGTGTGTGGGGAAGGGTGGGAGACGTTTGCGTAATAAAATTGCTGGTCGGAGTTATAATTACGCGATATATACCGACATCTTGTGTGTATGTGTGTGTACAATATACTCTCGATCAGTTTATGGGATGATAACGAACGAACGGTGCGCGGATCGCGTACAGCCTACGGGTACATTAACACTAGGAACCACCAAAGCAATCGAAATATTAGTACACTCTTATAATGATTGAAATGTCCCAACGTGAACTTTCGCAGATGTTTTGCAACGTTTACTGCAGTATGAAACCGACAGAATTAGTTGATTTATAAATATGATTACTTTCGGAAGGACAGAAATAGATTATGTTCGTTGCCGGTAGTTCCAGTGTTAAAATCACGGCGTTCCGTGAACGATCAACGTATCGGATATACCAGAATCTGAATGTATAGAGATTAAGACATTTTGTACGAAAATCGGAGAATAGAAAGTGTGTTAACCGTGTTGGAAGTGCACGACGGTCAGACGCCTGTTTAAAAGGTTAAAAGACAGCTGGTGATTCACCGAATACATGTCTCGAGGAACGCCATCGATCTTATCCGCACCGATCGTCTTGCTTTGATATGTAAATCGGCGACTAAATATTCCATTCCGCTGGAAAGATCCCACGTGCCGTGTCTGTGTGTGTTAAACGTGTAACACTCGTCGCGACCCGGTGACGGAGAAACAACCGTAAAGTCACCGTCTGTACTTGGGCACACGACGCCATCTTGGATTCGATAACTTCACGCCTGTCGCCGCGACGAGGTTAAGTACAATACACCATTTAGTTAACGGATACACACTGCGCTTACCACCTAACGATATAGTTTTCTTCTTTAACAAGGAAATAATAGGGTACTTAAACAAAATACTCTGAAAACATCGCAAATGATAACTACGAACGAATAATAATTTTACAAAGGGGTCGCCCCTAGCTCCGACGAGATTGTCCGTGTCCGTTCGGCGACAGCGAAGTTGTACAGTACATCCCTTAAAAATTGAACAGGCCCGAACATTCGACGCGACAGGGCATCTCTTATTTATAAAATTGTACACGGAGATTCGGCGTTCTGTCGTTGGACCGAGCTGGACACATCGATTCTTCTCGAACGAGGATCGTCTCCCGATTTCCGATCGATCGACGATCCCCGTTCGTCCGGCGGCAGTGCTAGAGAACCGTCGTGGAGTTTCGTGAAAAAATGAAAATCTTAAAACCGCGGTTCGGTTCGATCGAAGTCAACGAGAGATGGATAAACGTAAAAGCTTAACATAACCGGGCCCTTGATCTCGATCCAGAGGTCTTACACGTACTACTCTGACGACGATAAAACTCTGGACGATTTGATGGACAAACAATCTGTAACGTTCCTAGATGGATGAAGTTTAGCACCCCAAACATCTATATTCAACAACTCAATGAAAAACTCAATTTAGACTACAGATATTTTGTTCGTGAAAAGGAATCCAATAGAAACTCAATTAATACGTAGAGTCCTGTCAGAGCTCCGATCTTCTCGAGCACTATTCTAAACCCGATTTATCCTCAAAGAGCAACAGAGATCATCCCCATCATATCGCCAGAGGATCCTCGAATTCCAAGCGATTGCACACCAAACGACCCGATACTCTCTCATCAAACGACCCGACACTCTCTCTCACCAAACGCCGGCCAAACCGTCGTCATCCAGCTCCCTCCCAAAGTGTCTCCAGCGATTTGATCCTTCTGACCGAGAGACGATCCTAAAATCGAGGGAGAGTCAAGTGGTCTTGCCGGCTGACTTCTCGGTGCCTCAGTAGGCTCTCAGTCTGACCTCCATCTCGGGGTCCTGTCGATGGGTCAGGTGAGGTTCGATCCCACCGGTCGCCCCGGTCCCAGTTCCGGTCACGTGATGCCCGTGATGCCCGTGGTGATGATGATGGTGATGGTGATGATGGTTCAAATGGGGCGCACCGGTTCTGTACGCCCTCTGTTTCTCGTCCAGGTCGCGTTGCCTTTGGCTGTAACGTTCCACCTGGTCGCGAAGTATCGCGTCCTCTTCGGCAGCTCGTTTCTCGTCGAACTCCAGACAACCGACACCGTCCAGCCTCTCGAGATCGATCCAACCGCGCCACAGAACGCAGACACCGTTCATTATCAGGTGCGACCTGAGGTGTACCTGGAATCAAAATGGCGGACACACTTCGTCAAGAGTCCTTTGCGACTACCAAGGGGACTGTGTACGATAGTATCGAATGTTAGATGGAAATTCTACTGTTTTCTTCTTCTTTTTTTTTTTTTTAAAAAGCTAAACGATTTCTTTTGTATTTACTTTGGATCGGTGGGCATTCATCTCACTAGCGAATCTCGCGAAACACACAATATGTGTAGAGTATATAAATTTTCGTGAAGGTTAGTATGCATTGGGTTACTTTACTTTGGGCCTAAATAATCTAACGGAGAACTTTTCAAGCTCTTAGCTTGTTCTAGTACCATTAATTGACAGTAAAAATGGCACGTCCTTTTTACGTATTTCACATGAAAATATTTGCAAAATAAAAAATTGATTATTCCCTGAATTTCCGACGAAGTTATCCCTGAGTTAAAATTACCCTAACTTACTGTATGTACCTAAATTTCCAAATCAAGAATAATCTTATTATATTCTCGATCAGAAAAATGCGTCAGGGTGTTTCACATTTGAATCGACCTGTATCCTTCTCAGAGGGCGTGACCGTGAATTTCCGCCGCGAAATGCATCGATGGTAATTTCCAACGGACAAGAAGTCAATTTCTTTCGACTTTTCCGTACCGACTTTACTACACGATTCCTTTCCGGAGAGGCTTGTAACCGCGTCGTGGGAGGGGTCCATTAAGGCTCACCGGCATCTCGTCTTCGAGATTCAATCATGTTTTCTCTCCCCCTTCCGCCCCTGCCTTCTCCACAGCCGCGAGAGAACGCTTCTTATTTCCAGAGAACGATTACGCAGATTGGACGGTACAAGCGGCTTCGAGGAAAGATGAAATTGCCGAGGCGGACACGGCCTGGCTTCTCCGGCAAGAGGAGCCAACGACGAGGAGACAACGAGGAAATCGATCCCCTAGTTGCTGGGAATAATTTTTTAAGGAACCGTGAAATAAAGATTCTTGCAGACAAAAACTCGAGACCACTTTTCTCTGATTGAATACCTTCGAATAGAATTAAAAAGTAACGTGTCAATGCAACTGGTATGTTGCATGACCAATTTCCTGACTCACTGATGAAACGACTGACTTGTTACTTAAGAGTATCTTATATAACCTCTTTATCTTGAAATCTTAGGGAATCTTACAAGAGAAGGCACGGAAATGTCCCCCTCCGATTTTTATGAAACTTCGTATGTCTGTTAAGCAGTCAAAAATAAGGGATACGTATTTTTTTTTATCGGTTGGGACGCGACTTTAAGGGGTAAAACCACCCCTCGAAGTTTTGATCCGAAATTTTTTTGTTATAAACAAATTATATTTTGGACAATTTGTTAGCACCATATTATTCTACATAAAAAACGTAAACCTCGTCCATTAGAAGTTTTCATGTATCTCTGGTTTTCGAGATAGTACTTTCGGGTCGAAACTTCGAGAGGTGGTTTCACCCCTTAAAGTCGCGTCTCAGCCGATAAAAAAAAATACGTATCCCTTATTTTTCACTGCTTAACAGACATACGAAGTTTCATAAAAATCGTAGGGGGACACTTCCGTGTCTTCCCTTGTTAGAATCTCTACATTTAAGGGCCATGGTCATCCAGTCCCCCTATCAAAATGAAGTAAAAGTACTAAGGCCCTACCAACCTCGTCTGTTAAGGAGTTGTTCTACTTACAATTCACGAATAATTATTAACCGAACATCCAACAATAATATTGTCAGTTTCACAAGATTTTCCAAAGGTTCTGTCGGACCATTAGGTTACGTGTTATAAATTATAAATACCGAAGCAGAATGGTAGAAAGATCCAGAATGTTTTGTTCGTTTCTATGGCCCACGGAACGATCTACGGCGACAAGGGGAAAGAACGGAAAGGGCCGCCGTGGAGCCGTCGTTTCGGGTCGCTCTCTCTCGAAAAAGTCGAAACGGGCAATTATCCCGTCCCGGTTCAAGAGGGTTATTTTATTTCCTGGCCGAATGGCCTCGTTTCCGGTCCGTCCCGTAACAGACAGTTCTCCCAAAGGACTGTTACGGAATCGGAGTCGCGCGGCCGTGGAAAACCTGTCGAACCTTCCCTCCCCCCACTCCCGTTCATTTCCAGAAATATTTCATCGCCTTCCTACAATTCTGTCTGTCGAGGAATTCCCCGTTCGTAATACGATCGTTTAATGACCGGAAAATTAAAGGCATCGAAGTAATTCAATTAATCCTCGTACACTCTGGTCGATAATCAAATTGCGTTGATATTCGTTGAAATTGAACTGGGGTCTGAATTAATATCGAATTATGATAACATATATTTCTGTATTATAAGAAATATAATTAGATCGAATCGTTTAATAAATATCGGAACGTACTTCTTTATTCGAGCACTCTTTAATAAATAAGGAAACACCTGTGTCGAATGAGGAAACATGAGATCGAAAACCTTTGACCTTGTTCAAATCAAGCGTGTAAGATGATTATAAACACCGAATCGGATTAAAGCACGGTCCCGTTGCAACGAAAAGCAAAATATCGAAATAGTTTCCTGGTAACGAAGAGAAAAAAAAATACAGAACCGGGGAGAAACGCGTCGAAGGAAAAATCATCGTTACACACGAGCCTTGTCGTCGGTCTTTTCAGGGGTTTTTTTGCTTCTCTCTCTCTCTCTCTCTCTCTCTCTCTCTCTCTCTCTCTCTCTCTCTCTCTCTCTCCGTACGAAACTTACAGCTGGTTGTCGAAACGAACGGTAACAATGTGACCGCGCAGCGTGTGGCTCTTTGTGAAATCATAATCGAGCCGCCGCGGGAATCGTCGGGAGGCTTTCGACGACTCGATAATCGAATCGTTTCCCGACCCAGGAACACCAAATCGTTCTGTGATTTTTGTCTCACGCGATTTCAATGACTGGACTCCGAATTTTATGCGATTATATTTACAATTCATTGGATCGAAGAGTTTAATGAATTACAATTAAGTTTTCGCATTGTTTTGGAACCTGACAGAATCCTCAATAAGATTCAATATAACATTCAAAGGTAAATAAGAATACTAGAAAGCAATTACTAGAATACTAGACAGTAATAAAAAATTACCTAGAGAGTACTTCATTCGGTAACAAATACTCTTTTTTTTATGTAACCACTCTAGTTTTATTTTTTCTTCATTTTGTAATTTTATAACTTTATAATTTTGTAATCTCATTTCCCGTCCTGTATATGTAAACCAAAGGGCTTATTGCCCGTTAAATAACTTAATAATAATAATGACAGGATATATATGGATCTAGTTGAAGTATGAAAAGAGAAAAAAAAACGGAAATTCCAAGTTTCCTTTTCTTACTGGAAGGGAACAAGAAAATTATTCCCGAAAAGTCTGAAATCACGTTCCACCACGAGCGAATGAAAGTTCGAGGGGAAAAGAGGAAGAGAAATATGTAAAGTATATTTTTCCGGGTAAAATTTCGCAGAACCGATTCGTCGACCGTTCAGAGACAGACGTCAAGAGGCCTCTGACAATAGATTTCGACGGTAAAATTCTGAAAGGTCGAAGGTGAAGGTCATACACAATGCACGTACACATATTTGCATTTAAAGTCGAAGAGATTTCGTAAAAGATTAAGATAAGAGTCGTCTTCGAGAAAACACCTTTTCGTTCTTTGTCAAGCAACGTCTGATTAGCTTCTCAACACCTTCGGCCAGGCTACACATCGATCCAACCTTCATGCAGGCTTCAAAACACAAACTAACACATATTCCACTGTGAATCAACACACTACACAGTCTACAAACAAATTAATATCATTAAACGAACAAACAAGTTCAACCCCCTCGTCACGGTTACAAATCGCGTGTCATCGAGGGTACCATTTACCAAGATCGCCGAATAATAATAAAAAAAAAAAAAAAGAAGGAAAAAAACAATAAGAGAACAGGAAACAAGAAGCTAAACCGTCAAGCCTACCCAAAGGAGAGAAACAATCGTCCCTCGACCTCGTCACTAATCATCCACGTACCTAATATCGGTCTCGTTCTCACGCAAGATCAAGGGGGGGGGGGTCGACAGCAACCAAGACGAGTAAAAAAAAGAAACACCACACTAGGAACACATCAGAATCCATTTCACACCTTTTCTCTTTCCGTCGCACCGGGGCGTGACCCATTAACGACTCGGTATAATAGTCGGCGATATTTAAACTGTAACGCGTGTGCGTCTCTCTGTCACGGTGTTTCAACCCTTTCGCCATTTGCATGCCCCGTTTTCGACGGAAGAGGGGGGGGGGGGGGGGAGCACGAAAGGAAGAAGAGGAATAAAAAAAAAAGCAAAAAGGAGACAGACCAGAAAGAGAGAGGACAGAGACGTAACGTCGGTGGTGGGCCTGGTGGCGCGCGAAAGGGGTGAAAAATCGGGAAAGGGTGGAAAGGCTTGTTCGTCAGGGGGAGGTGGGGAGGACAAACGACCGGCTATTTCGACGAGCCTTTTGTTTTTCGGTAGGCGTACCCGTGCGCCAGCTTTTTTAAGCCGGGGTCCGTGTCTAAACAATGAAAGGACATTCGTCAACGCGATGGTCCTGGCGGAAAGGACCACACCGGGCACACACACAGAGGATCGCACATGGTCAGCGATACTTCCTTTTGTCTATTCTCGGAACCAGATTGCGTCTGTTCCTTTTTTTTTTTCTGTTCGTCGATATGCCTTCTAGACTTGCGTTTCTTTATCTTTACGATGGACTCGGTTCACTACTGTTATCCTTACACGTTCGAAGGTCCTCGTGTTACTCTATATGCATATGTCGGGGGAATCCTTTCGGGAACGGTACTGAGGCAAATATATATATTTTTTGTATCTATTCGGTCCGGAATTTTACGATTCAAAGGGCCAGGGAGAAGTCCAGTTCGAGGAACCAGAATGTTCTAAGGCGCAGGAAAGGACTACCGAATGCATCCTAGCCCGAGGTGTAAATCATCCTTCGGCCCCCTTTGAGTCAAGGAAAATTTACGTTCAGAGGCGCGCTTAATGGTGTTAACCCTAAACTACAGGCACGATACTCGTGGAGGAATAATACAACGACCACTTTGTAACAATTTTAATAACCAACTGAATGGGTATTTAATCGTTGCCGGTTTGGAAATATACAGTATATGACTGATTACTGTCAATCGGAGGTGTACTCGAATCAGTGATCTGTAGTCATTTTGGGACTTTTTACTAAACTCGATGTAAAGTAATACATCTAACACAGTTTTGAAGACTTCATAAAAATTATTGAAACTTAATGAATATTCACATAATTGTAGAAAAAAATGTTATCAGTTATGGGATTTATTAAACATACTATTGTAAAATGTTCGCTAGAAATGCGTCTCTTCGACAGTCGTCAATTGCATTATCATGCGAATGTCTATTTCTAATACTATTTTTTCTATTTAAAGTGACGAGAGAAGTATAAATGTCGATAGTTTCTAATAGACCGACTCTTCTAGTATTACTTTTATGTAGAAATTTGACTGATTTCGACAAGAAAAAAATTGATCAAATGTCCGAGAATTTCTTACGACCTAGAAAAAGCACATTCACACACGAGGCAAGCCTGATCGAGAAAGAGCAGGGATTCTCGATAAGATCGCCGGAAAGCGGCGAGTTTCGAGCGAGTGGGTGCACCCTTTTAATTTTCGCTCGGGTCTTTATCGACCATTATCACGATCGCGAGATCTCTCTCCCTTAATTATTTCCTCTCTACGGGGAACGGTCCGCGTAGACAATGGACGCCGATTGGACACGTGCTGCCGCGCGTCGCTCCTTTATTAAACGCGCCTCTTTCTCTCCTTTTGCTCATTGTCGAGTTAAAACAAAACGACGGAGCCGCGGGTCGCCGTGTAAACAAACCGTGTGCTCTCTCCTCTCTCTCAGTGTCTCTGTATTTTCGAGTTCGAACACACTAATGAATCGTTAGTGCCGAATGTACGTTCTCTGTTTTTCTCCTTCGTTCACCGACATCGAGGATGAATCTAGAAACGCTCTCGGGACTGAGGCGCGTGCGTTTTGTATTTTAAGTATGTAGGATCCCCTGTTCCTGCGAATCGAGAGGGAACTGGTGGTTCTGGTTGGTGAACACACTTGATGTGCGTAAAATTTCGAGAGGAATCGGAAACGTCTCGAATTTGAAATTGTATTTGGATGAGAGGACAGTTGGGTACACGACCAGGATCTGAATCGATTAGAAATTGGGGATCGATGGAATTTAGATCGATTACAAATTTGATACGCGTGGAACATCGGACACATCGACGTAGAATATACCTACGGCTTTAAATTATCGAGAACGCGTTTAAGTTCGGTAGTTTATAGATCAAGGAACCTGGTTAAATTCCAATAACCTGAAAATCAACAGAATCCTCACATCCAGATCGGAAAGGAAAGCTTTATCCTCGTAATACTCGAGTTATTGGACGACACATTGTTTGGAATACATTCGACTGTCTATAAGTGGTGATCGTGTTTCGGGTGATTTCGAGAAGTTCTCCAGGCCCCCGAGAAAATGTCCTCGGAAGGATCTTTCCCATTCGCTCTTTGGAGGATCCCAAGAGGGACCCGGAGTAAGAGATTTACGACCCATTATACACTGTGTGACTGGATGGAAGCCCACGGGGCATCTGGCACCGACTCCCTGGGCTCGTTTGACGGATTTGGAAATGCGCTAATTGGCTCTATAGGCCTGCTAATGGGGGATCGTCTGAATCCTTCGATTTCGAGAATGTCGCGTGCTACTGCATCCCTAAGTGCTCGTACATCTTTCACGCCCGACGTATGTTTTGATAACCGTCGCCTGCGACTCGCTCGGAGGATCGTTATTCACCGTGGAGGACGTTTAATCATTGTGATGTGTTACATGTTGATCACAGAAGTAGCTTTTACTAATTGAAACCCCGGAAAACATCCATCGAAAACCATAATTGCATTTTCAACAAATGCTGCCCTGATAGAAATCTTCGTGCATTTATTACGATAAGGGAAACCAGGGACTTCTACCGAAACGTAAAATACCGATATGATACTGGTATTTTCGATTGTACCTTCCCCTATATAACCCTATATAAACCCTACCTTTATAGAAACCGAAAAAATACCGTTATTTATTTCGGTTTTCAGTAATAAATCGGTTTCGGTATAGCTTTGATGGCATAATATCGGTATAAAAATCATACCGATTTAAGTCCCTGAGGGGAACGGGAGAAATATTGGGAAGCTTTCGACGACGAAACGAACAAGAATAGTTTAATTATCTAGGCGGTAAGTTGCGAAATTTGGACGCGTACTGGTTAGAAAATGGCGGACACGCGACGCGCCTATCGATCGCGATGGCGACGCCTCGGCGTCGCCCCTCTATTGGCGCCGGCGTAACAGGGTGTAACCAACTCTTCTAAACGGCTCAACAATGTCTCTACGATCCCAAAAACGAATAAAATAATATCTCAAAATACGTAACGATTAATCCCAAAATTGTACGACTCTTGAATGAAGGAGTTAATGTTTTTTACAGACCAAGACAATTACATCTTTTGGACTTAACCCGAATATTCAATGAATTAATCGTGATAACGATTTCAAACTGAATTTAATAAACATGTATATTATTCGTTATCTTTGGGTCAACGTGAAATACTCTTTCGCTGGTATTAACATTTAAAGTTCAGAATAAATGTAACACTTGCCGTAAGAATAGAATTCCTTTTGTACCTAGGAAAATATTAACGATAAAGTAATCTTTGAGAGGGATGTCCTAAAAAAATTGTATGGCAAGGGGTTAAACAATTCGTAGATAATTTTTAACTTTGTGCCAGAATCTCGACGCCACCCCCCGCGGACCGAAAAGTTCCGGGGACCGGATGTGTCTCTCGTGTTCCGTCGTGAACGGTGACACTATTGTCCGAGAGGTAGAAACGGATACTAAATTGTCCGTGGGGGCGACACACAACGTGTCCCGGGACATACGATCCCAAGGACACGAAATGTACACGACGTCCCGTTCAGGCTGGCCTGTTTAACGATCGCCCATTTGTCGGCTAGTCTATCGCCCAATTAGAGTCGCAATCACGGACACTTAGGCGACCTCCTGCACGGCTGTGAATGGCAGACTACAAATTGAGCGATTAGACGGTTTTAATTGAAAGTCGAACCGTAAAATGTGATTTATTCGAACACGCAGCTTTGTAACAATACGGTTTCTGTTTAGACAACTGTCGTTTCAACGCATTTCGTATCAGAATCTTTACAGGCGACGGAGGACATGCTCCAAAATATAGAACTTCCGTCTAAACGTCTATTATGAATTTTCTAACGAATATTATTAGAATATTCACGCTAAAATACCGAGTGAAATAAGTTTAAGATCCCATGAGGTTCGATACCATTAGATTGGGACAAATGTCAGCTCGTACACAGTCTTTGTTTTGTTAAGGTTTTGATATTATATGTTTGGTTTTATGGTGACTAGCGTGGTGGTTAAAGTGTTAAGTATCGAACTTACCTTGCCGCAGTCCTTCTCGAAATCGCAGTCGCTGACATCGACAGCGTAATTCCCGGATGCGCTACCAAAAACCAGCTGAAGGTTCGTCCCGGTGGCCGCGAAAGCGATCTCGGTGTGGCCCTCCCGGCAGCCATTTTGAAAGCGTACGCGACGTTCCTCGACCGGCCTGTCCCGAAAACCGGTGTACCTGACCTGTGCAGAGTAACGAAATAAAACAATCTTTTACAAATTCCAGTTCATAAAGCACACAGTTGAATAAAATGTCGGAATGTCCTTTGACAATTATTACAAACGATAAACCACATTCGTACGTGAATTATAGTTCATTCGAAAAATAAAATAGAAACCTGCGGTTTTCAAGTTTTTATAGGAATTGAGGTAAATTCAATCCAAGTATATATGTAGTTCAAATTAATTTATATCGATAGTGGTCTTCCGTTGTGTACATATCATTGTATAGAAATGGAATTATAAATGATTTGCCGTAATGATCTTTCTGTATTCTTTTAAATAATTGTATAATTGTTTGGAGTAACTGAACGAGAATCGACAGTGTGATACAGACATTTAGGTAATCGTTGGAATGAACCGTCGCCGTCGGGAAGTCCGCCTTAATTGGAATAAATAAATCTGACAGGAACGTCGACATTCCTTTCATAAGTTTTCATTTTAAAAGAAGTAAGGCTGAATAAAATGAGGCAGAAATAAATGTACCACGGATATTTTAGCTTCACAATGAACGTGTTATCGATGTTCGGAGCGTATTAAATACTGTATTACCTAAGTTGGAATTACAGAAATCGTGTGATTCATAACAGAATACGTATCAGACAAGTTTTAGCAGCCAGACGAACGATTTGTAGAATACAGGCGCAAGTTTGTTTTTGTAATTAGCATTAACGCAAAGTCTAATGGTCGACCTCTATAATCACAATGAATTTCAAATCGTGTTTCGTAGTACAGACATGTACGATGTAAACAGAGAATGGCTTGAATCGTTCTTAATTATCAATATTTTCCAGAGTACTACGAGAGTACGAAGCTGATTGAATAATACTATGTAGTCCCATCACACTGGATATGAATATGTTCCCTCTCAATTTCAATGATACCATAAACACCTCCAACAGACTAAATATCACCGATCGAAGGTACTACCTCAAAAAGACAGAAGATGTTTCAGTTACAAAAAGGTGGATCTTGAACATCGCGAGAATTGCTCCAAAAAATCCATATCCATTTTGGAAACTACCCCTAAAAGCTAATAATTCCCGCGTGCTACTCCATTCGTTTCCTGTTCCCACAAATTTACTCTACAAATCCGTCAAGTTCCTCTGTGTAAATTCGCGAAAACATCGTCAATCTACGGGGCACTTTCCCAATTCAAACAACAACAAAAAAAGCCGAAAAAATCGACTCACCTCGCTCTCCCGGCTGAGCCTCCTGAACAGCTCATCTGTCTCGAATTTTCCCTTCTGATCTAGCACCACCCTGGGCACCTTGAAGATCAGCCTGGGCCGTCTTTGCTCGTACAGGCCCATTCCGTCGAACGGAAGAACACTGACACCCAACCCCCCCGCTCCGCCGGTGTGCTCGCTCATCGTGTGCATCATCTTGGCGAAATCGTCCTGAACCACCTTGGATCCTCGAACCGTTAACCGAACCAACGCGGATATCACGATCGATCGAACCAAATATCGAACACTGGACGAACAGAAAGGGACTTTTTGTTGTCCGATGTATATATATCCGTGTGATGTGTCACCGAAGGAAACTTGTACTAATCGAAATGGTTGTTGGCACTATAAGACAGAGCACCGAAATCCGCACGTTCGACTGCGCCGTCCGGCGTCTCAGTGGAGACTAAGGACTACGGAGTTGCGAAAGGCCCGAGGATCACTGGATCAGGCCACGCCTACCAGGCCCGGCCCCCCGAAACTCCCACCCGAATTTTTCAATTCTTTGAAACACGGAAGAGGATGACCCTCGACGGTGGATCGACCCACCGTGTTCAACCCCTCCGACGACCAGCGCGCCACGGGGTGACTCCGAAATCGGGTTACAGGATCCTCCAGACCGGTGACATAGTGTACCCTGAGAACGAAAGAATTTTTTTCAGATTTTTTTATCTTTGAATATTTATAGTTTACAACTCTCACCCACGTTGCGATTCAATTGTGGTCTGATAATGTACTTTTTACGAGAGATTCGTCTTTTACGACAAAAAAGGGACTTCCCAACGATAGAGAATAAAATAAATATGCACAAGGTATTGTCTTAAATACGACTGCGATTATCGTGTGTTTCGTTTTGGTAATCTATCAGGTGTAACCAAAGAAATAATTCACTATTTAATTGTATCAGCATTTGAATTGCATCGATTATAAACGTTTCACCAAAGAATTAGTGAACTACTTATTGGTGCACCTAATAGACAATTAAACTGCACAAGTGGCGAACACCAACGAATCTAAGATAGACGGATCGACCCAACGCGTAGAATTACATACATCGCTACAGAAGAAAACTAAAAAAAAAACCTGATGAATCGGGAGTCAGCTGGTAGCATCATGAAAGTCTGTGTTAGCGGATATTCCAGTCAGGATCAAAAGGATGGGCGAGGCAAAGAGCGGATCGCAGGCGGCACGAGGATAATATAATGTACTGTATCCCGGGATCAGTGAGTACAGGGATTGGCCGACGTGTTTTTCCCCCCGTGGATACGTGTCAGGGGGTCCCGTATTACGAGCGAGGGCTTCTGCACACACGGTTATAACAGCGTGTATCCCCTCGAGGGAAAAAGAGATCTTCATCGTTCTATCTCTCGAGCGTCGAGGGCTCATCCGTTTGAGAGGATCATTGTCGAGGATCCGCGATTAAGATCGACGACCCTTTGCACGATCCGCGTTACCGGCCACCGATACACCCATGTATCCGTTCTCTACCTTTTTTTCTTTCGTCCTCATCATCTTCTTTCGGCTTTCAATTCGGTACCATCGTGTGCCGACAGTCTAAAAGTGCGTCCCCGTAAATTGGTCCTCGCCCGTGGAGAGCCATCTACGAAGCAAACAAAAGCGGATTGGTATCCCTTCGAGAATCCTCTAATATACAGGAAAAATTGTACCAATATTTGGAAATTATGCTTCGGGACCCCACGGAACAATAGAAAGTGGCTGTATCGAATAAGCACCGACGGTGTGCGCTTTTGCTTCGGGGCAAATGTTTTTCCAAAGTCACAATGAAGTAATAAACGTTATAGCCTATGGTTACGAGGGGTTGGTAAATGAAATGGGGTGGAAAAGGGGTTTACCTTCGCAGGTATATACGGGTATAGAAGCCGTTCCATAACATTTCTAGGCGTTGAACCGAGACGGTGTCCGGCCGGCGGGGCCTTACAAGCGACCATTTTTATGACCAGCACCGTCTTCGCCTAGAGGTTTACTGCGCCCGCATCCTTCGTTCTCCTTTATGGGAGCTTCCAGTCACCATCGGACACACAGACTGTCTCTGTTCCCGAGCGACAAAACGAGTGCACGGTCAACGTTAGTAAATACAGTTGATAATAAAGTTCGACATAATAGAAGCGATTCTTTGCCATTATAAACAGGCCAGGACCTTTCCAGTCGTTATATCCTTCTTTTTATGATGGCCAATACACTTCGAGGTTTATTATACTTTCTATTACCTTGTTATTAATTTCATAGACAGTTCTGTGTCAAGCATACCCTTCCTTTAGTTTCTCGGGACGTACCGATCCTGTAAAGCAGAATTAACTTTACCGAACTTCATCGCAATTAGGTAAAAGTATGAGATTACATTTCGAAAATCCCCAGTCATTTTTTTTTGTTTTTCCAAGGATTCATTGAACTTTCTGAAATTGGATTTACGATTGAGTCTTTTGTTCCCCAACATCAACGGTAGCTCGTCTTTATCGTCTTGTTGCCATGAATGCCAAGCAACGGTGAAATTAATTTCCACGCGTCGCGACGGAGCTGAATAAAAAAAATCCGCGCGCGTCGACGGAATGCCCGCCTCTGGTTGGCCCGGATTGGTCCAGAAGCCTCCACCAATCCGGCGAGATCGTTGACGGGGGATCCTGGCCTCGGTGGTGGTGGTCCACGCGTACTCACGCACGTGCCTATGTAGAAATAATAATAATAACACACAGGGTGGAACGAAAGTCCTGTCATATAGGCGAAACATTCTATGAGTCTACATATATCTATGAAAAAAATTTCCAACGAAAATTGAAATTATGTATGTACAAAGAAGACGGGAAACAATGCCTTTCCAATTTTATTACAATCTTCTCCACCACTTTGTTTTTGGTCCAATTTAGCTTCAGTCCCATTTATCTCCTGTTATTCTGAAAGAATGCGTCCTAATCTTTGACCCACCCTATTTATATCTTTATGAGAGATAGAAAAGTTGGAATTACATTATAAAAAAACAGGTACTGGCTGAAAAAAATATGTAAGTAAAAGTGATAGAATAATGGAAATTTAGATATAAATTGAAATAAACTAAGGAAAATATACATATCTGGACCAGACGTGACCAGCCGAAACGCGACACGGCAACCGAGGATCGGATCAATAGAACCTCGTCGCGAAAGCGTTGCTAAAGAAACTCGGCAATGGTGCCGCGTATATCGTGTAAACAGCCGTAACGAGGTTCGTTGAACGTAGAATCATGTCCGGCGAGAAGACGAATTTATCCGGTTCGAATGCATGGAGAAACAAGGACTACGAACGACATCGTCTGAAAGTAAGCGGAGAATTAATCGTTGCACGAGAACACTCGAAACACGTTGATTGAATTACAAATATTTTTCAGGTGATGAAAGCTACCTGCGCGATAGATGTGAATCCACCAAAAGGTAGGCCGCACGTTTCTTTAAACGCGAAGGGGTTGCAATTGGAACGGGAGAAGCAGGATCGTATATTCAGGGAGAATTTCATCCTTCTGAAGAAGCTGTGCGACATCATGCACCGAAAACGACCCACGCAGGAGAGTCAAAGACTGAAATGGGACGTATCTAGATGCATTAGAACTCGTTAATATGTAGGCAGATAATTCCTGTCTTCGATTGAGCGAAAAAAAGAAAGTATAATGTCTTTTGATACAGTGAGGATTAACAGATTAATCGGAGAACCTATTTACATGCTGCAATTTGTACAATAATTTTTATAAATCACCGTTTTATACCTCTGATACATGACGCATCGAACATGAAAAGAACTGATTTTCAAGGTTAACGATATTGAATACTATATAAAAGAATCAATGGACACTGCGGAGTTTTATTTCACCTATGTTTTGTATTCAGTTTTGATAGTTTCTACCTATAGATGAATAATTCGTATAATTAAGCCATGAAAATCGTTCGAACGGCGATTAGTAATAGTCAGTTGCGACTGTTTTAATTGGTTTTAATTAATATTTTTTATACGCACGTTGTGAGCCATATACTTGGCGCCATCTGCGACAAGCTGCCCAAGCTACTAGATAAATAGGTCTGCTTTATTCCCGTTAGATGGCGATACAGTTTTTTTGGCGCGCTTTTCATTAAAAAAATTAAACACAAATTTCATAGATTCTGAAACAAAAAGTAACTTTGAAGATTTCGTAAAGATATGAGAGCCGATAGAACTTTGAAAATAATTTTTGAATGACATTGAAACTAACCTTTTGAAAAGAAACAACTGAACACAGATCTCATTTTCCACTTGATATCGAATCATTTCATGTACGAAACCTGGAAATAGGTTACTTTACTGTAATTTAAGGAACTACTTTGATCATTTAGGGATTGACAAAGACGTTTGATTTTTCAATAATAATAAACACAATTCAATGGAAGGGGAATATGAAGAAGCGGAAGGAGACCACGCAAAATACCCAAGCCGCAGGTCTTCGGAAGATTTCGAACAGGCACCGTTAGTCTTGACGTTATCAGAAGCCGCAGAATGTCTTCACACGTTGGGAAAGTGTGATTCGGGTTTGGGATACGCTTATTTAGGTTTGAACGCTTCTAACAAGAGTCTGACTGACATTGGAATTATACTGTGTTTCAAGTATGTCCTGTATGTGGACGTTTCCGGAAACAGATTAACCGCCGATGCTCTTCGCGTCCTCGCGAAGATGACATATCTTCTAATGATTCAGGCTGACAGGAATAAAGTATTATCCGCGGAAATGGTTTCTATGCCATATCTCCAGGTCGATGATAACCATTTAAAAATTCTCTAAACTCTACTCTTAAATCATTATGAACGCAGATTTGTTACAATACATGGACGATTAGTTTGTAATATTTTGATTTTCTCTCACTTTAGGTACTGACTTTAAATAAAAACAAATTAAAAAGCACATCAGGCATCTCCCACAAACTTCTAGAATGTCTCGAACTAAATCACAACAACATAGAAGAAGTCACGTTAAATCCTTACGATTTAGAGAATCTCAAAGTCCTTGAATTACGCGGAAACATACTAACTACCACGAACGGAATATTCTTTCCTGGATTAATTCGTTTGTACCTCGCAGAGAATCAAATTGAAAAATTAGAAGGTCTGGAGATTTTAATCAATTTGAAAATATTACACCTGAGGAGTAACAAATTGTCAAATATGGAAGGATTTGACTCACGTTGCGCCAAGCTCGATTACCTAAATCTCCGGAACAACGAAATCGCTAAAATTTCGGAATTAGAGAAATTAAGCTGTCTGCCTTCGCTGGAAACTCTCGTCATTTTAGAAAATCCTGCAATAACTGACAGAGAAGGAGACGAAGAAAGTACGTATAGGCAAATAATATTGGCTATGTTGCCTAACCTGACGCGAATCGACAAAGATTCAGTGCTGTACGAAGAGAAAAGGGACGCCAGAGAATTTCGTAGACAGATGATTCTCGATGGAACAAAATTCACAGACTTTGACACTAGTCCTGCGCGTGAAGAATGATAATCATACACTTTTTATGAAGTTCAACGTGTAATGTAAAGACAAATATTTAAACTGATAAAAAAAGTTTCACGAGAAAATCAGATAAGACTAATTATAGACTTATTTTACACAATCGATAACTTCGTGTCTGCTGAGCTAGTAAAACTCTTTTTTTTTTTCTACTGTAATATTTCCCACCAGATGCACATTTAAAATCGTGTTCACGTGACCAGCAAGTAATCACGATCTCTAGCGGCACCGTTTAAAGCCACAGCATCGTACTCCATAAGCGTAGTTTCACCGCAACTCGCCGGTGGAAATGTGCATTTAGTGGATCTGTAGCTCGTTTCATAATTCGAATTTATAATTTCACACTCGCGTACCAGTAAATTTCTTCTCACCGAAATGGCTAGCAAACCTGAATTCAAAGTTGGTAAGTAAAAAGTTAAACGAATTTTTGAGTCGCCCCATACAGACACGTGGTCGTTATTTTGGAGCACAATTGATAACCTCCATTCGTGGTATTTAAAGAATAACATTACATACTTCCATTGCCAGGAGTGATGGAATTGCATAGAAATTGATAAAAAAAGTCTTCAAGGAATGATGCAATTCGTAGCAAAAGTTCCTCTTATAAACTATATGTATGTCGAATGTCCAGATAACGTCAATGCTAATCTCAGATTACTCTATACAACTCTACTTTTCTTAAACAGATTAATCGTCTGCGTAACAGTCGGATTCAATTCTTTTTTATGTACATATATCATAAGGAAATAAAATGGAAAAGAAGGTATAATTATTTTGACTGAATGTCGAACTGAAATGGAGTAACGAAACATTTGAAAATGTGTCGTAATTAATTGTTCTTTTTATTTCATGCGAATTATTTAAAATAGATGTACATATCCCAACGTTTAAATTAAATTTCAATAACTGTTAAACCTAATAAATCGTACTCTACGTTCTTGAGTGAACAGTCACTTCATTGATAGAATGTAAAAAAGAACCGGTGCGAATCGAAGCAAAATTGAATTAATTTGAGTAAAAGAATTATTCATATATAATTTGAAATTGATGTACTGAATTTTTTTCTTGGCAAAGCCGACCTATCCCTGGCGGAATGGGGTCGCAAAGAAATCAGGATGGCAGAGAACGAAATGCCGGGGCTCATGGCCATCAGAAAAAAGTACGGTCCTGGGAAAATTTTGAAAGGCGCACGTATCGCGGGTTGTTTACACATGACAGTGCAAACCGCAGTTCTTATTGAAACTTTAGTCGAACTTGGAGCCGAGGTAAGACGAATTATCTCATTTTCATGTTGCAACCATTTTCGTGGCACCACGTTCGATTCCAAAATGGAGCTCGAGCATGAGCATCATTATTGAAAAAATCAAACTAATAGTCAAAATTTAAAACATTCTTTGGTACATATAGTTTAAAATATGATTTACCTGCAATAAAACAAAGATATTATGTTATGGCATCTAAAAATGTTTACTTTGTTAAAAGTAAATTCAAAATTTGAATGTAGTCGTGTCTATTAAAAAATGGCGCCAGGAAACTTTACATTTGAATCTGCATGCTTATTGTTTCTGTTATGTTTATAAGTAATTCTGTACCAGATTAAGAAAGGTAGTAATGGAGAAATCACTTGCACCTACTAAGAATAAAGTTTAGTTTACATAAGAATAGAGCATAACATAAATGAAATATCGAACATAATTCGTATTTACATACGTAGGCAGGTTTATCTTGCAGATCATGACCTCGTGACATTCGCAAGATTCACAAACGGTCGTGTTAGACACTCGAAAAGCTTTCAAATTCTATTCGACTTGAGATTAAGATCATATCAGATAAGATTCATGACAATTGTTGCCATTGTGATGTAGCTCATATGTATGATAGTGTGATGCAAAATGAGCATTGACTATGTCATAAAAATTTACGAGTCTTGCTTGCACTTCATTAAAGAAAAGTTCTTGCTATACAAGATCTGTTCAAAAACGTGTTCTCGAACCCGATAGAGAAATACCTATGAACCAAATTTGTAAATGTATCATTAAAAAAAAAGCAAATCACCAATTTTCTCACTTAAAATAAAATCACGAGAACATATCTTCATTTGAGATTAACATATTTAAGCAACTCGATGCACAGTAATGCTTCAAAGCTGGCACCGACACCATTGATTTACTAGGTTCAGTGGTCATCGTGCAATATATTCAGCACGCAGGATCACGCGGCCGCAGCTATTGCAAAAACAGGAGTTCCTGTATATGCGTGGAAAGGTGAAACCGACGAGGAATATCTCTGGTGTATAGAGCAAACTCTTGTCTTCAAAGATGACAAACCTCGAGGAGACCACCACTGGAGTGCACAATCTTTATCGTATGATGAAGGAAGGAACTCTTAAGGTCCCTGCAATCAATGTGAATGACTCAGTCACTAAGGTTCGTTAGATGCACAGTTCTTGATTCCTCTGTCCACCTGAATCCTTGGTCTTCCATGGATTGTCAACTCTTTCAAACGTTTCTCCAACAACCTGAAACTGTTTCGAGTATTCCTTCCTTCTCTCAGCTTGTGTGAATCCTCAGTCTGGTTTGAGTTTTCGATTTCGTATGAACCAAGATTCCGTTTCACTGAATACAGAGCAAGTTTGACAATCTATATGGATGCCGTGAATCGTTGATCGATGGCATCAAGCGAGCAACAGACGTGATGATCGCTGGGAAAGTCTGTGTAGTAGCTGGATACGGCGACGTTGGCAAAGGATGCGCTCAGAGTCTCAGGGCATTGGGTGGTCGTGTACTAATCACAGAAATTGATCCCATTAATGCGCTTCAAGCAGCTATGGAAGGATACGAGGTGATTATTGTTACTCCGTGACAAAGAATAATAAGAGTATTTCAGAAGAGGTGTAAGAAAAATTGTTGAACTTTTACAAACACTTAGGTAACGACAATGGAAGAAGCGTCGACCAAAGGACAGATATATGTCACCACTACTGGATGCAAAGATATTATATTAGGTCATCATTTCGTAAATATGCCAGAGGATGCTATTGTATGCAACATTGGTCATTTTGATTGTGAGATAGATGTTGCCTGGCTTCAGAAAAATGCGGTCGAGAAAGAGAATATTAAGCCCCAAGTAGACAGATACCAGTTGAAGAACGGCAGGTGGGCAGTTAGATAGTACTCTATTCCTATATGTAGATGTGAACAACTCTTTGCCTAGAAAAATATTTTTAAAGAGAAAAATTAGGCACACTGACGTATCGTGACAGTAAAAGATAATTCAACATATTTAACTGTAATATCTCTCACCTTTTTAAGATCGGACATTGCAAATCACATAATTGAGTAGATATTTCTCCTCTGGTTCACGTAGTGTTCTCCCATTTCAGACACGTCGTTGTTCTCGCAGAGGGTCGTTTAGTTAATCTTGGATGTGCAACAGGACATTCGAGTTTCGTGATGAGCAATTCATTCACAAACCAGGTGCTGGCACAAATAGAATTATGGACAAAGTCAGATTCTTATTCCGTCGGTGTTCACATGTTGCCAAAGAAACTGGATGAAGAAGTTGCGGCGTTACATTTGAACCACTTGGGCGTGAAACTTACAAAACTTACAGAGGAACAGGCCAAATACCTTGGAATACCTATGGAAGGACCTTATAAAGCTGATCATTACAGATATTAATTGCCATTAAAAACTCACTGGCATTTATGTACTTCAATCGTACTGGATATTATGTATAATCAATACAATAAAAATAGGACGACAGTGTTTTTAAATGAATTGTCTAGTTATTGACTTTTTAGGTAGTCACTTGTTAATTTTAAGTTGAACATCAAGGATTATGTCTTGAGAAACATTAGAACTAGAGTAAACTATATCGTTTTAAAACTATTTTTAAACGAAATCAGTTTCGTCGAAAACAGAATTTATTTAAATGCCAGGAAAGAAAATCGATTTGGTTCCTTTCGAAGTTAGTCCCTTGATAAAGGTAATAATACTTCACACTAGTTATTCAAAGTCCTCGTTTCTGTAGAATAATTTGTATCTTTAGTTAGTCAGGTGGACATGTTTAATTGCTGGCGTAATTCACGGTTTTGTTCTTCGAAGAGAATATACTGCAGTGGAAAAAGTGCAACGAGAATACGAAGAGGCACGTAGAGTTGCAAGAGAAGAGTATCTTGCTCGTGAAAAACAGCGCCGCAATGCTGGTATATTTCATTACCTCCTTTATCCATACTCTTTTTGCAAATGTATATTTTCCTTACAGTTGAGATGAGAGAACTCGAAAGAATATTTCTCGGAACTGTTGCATCTGACAAAGAAGTATCAATTAAGCAAGTTCCATCTGATACAAATAAAATTATAAAGGCCAAAGCTAACGGGAAAGAAGTCGTTATTGTTTCCAATGATTAAGTAAAAATAAAGTTAATTGTAACTGGCACCACACTTCATACATTCCAAATCATTTTAAGAAAGACATATTTATTCTCTTGTAACATTTCTTATATATATATATGTTGTGTCAACTATGTACAAATTCTCTTTTATATTATTTACACCTTTAAAAGAGCGGAACACTCCTGCAGGCAATAACATCCACAGCCTGTCGGGCATAGTGTCTCATTAGCGAACCATGCTGCTAAGTGTTGTGTGTGTCCTCCGTGACCACAAAATATACAGAAGTTACTTGGGCCTGAATTTATGAAAAAGAAACAATCAATTTGATAATACATGCTCCTGTGCAGAAAACAACATAAATTAGAAGTTTATGTACCCTTTACGGAGATGTGGCAGATTACGCATTCCAAAGCGAGGCGTTTGCAACTAATGCATTGGGGACCTCTGCTAACTTTAGTACATATTTGGCATTCACTTTGGAATTCGACACCTTTGTGCGTATCCAGAGGAGTTATGCTGACATGTTTCAATACTTGAGCTCGAGCATCTAGCAAACGCCACCTGTGCAACACTTCTGCATATGCTTTCTTGTACCCATCGTAAAGAGTAGTGTACTTTTCATCGAGTAGCCTGCATAATTAATATCTATCACGAACTTTTGAATGGAATTATAAGCAAATTTATATTCTTAATAAACGAAAATGTTCAGTTCTGTACCTAATATTTTTTACGGAGTCACCAAACGAATCCTGGATACATTTTAAATCGTCAAGGGAGTCGGACCACGAATTGGATCTGTGTTGTTTCAAATTTTGAAAGTTCCATCCTTCTAACGTGGTATCAGCTAGATGTATTGTATGATATGGTGACCCACCAGGCTAGAAGAATACATTGAAGAACACATAAATCACAATTCGAATGGTAAACGTTACGTCAACAATGTAGTAGATACAATATACACAATGGACAAATGAAAAAAAGGCATTATGTCTATGATCACTTTCAGCACAAGAACATTTGTCTTCTGTGCGAATACAATTGCTACAACAGACAGTACATCACATATACGTTGGATTAATCACTACAAATTACACAATTTATCGGATTATCGACCGCGTGATACACGACAATAATTAAAATGCAAAACTGAATAGTTTGGCGTTTTAAAATCAAGCATGGCCAAACCTGCATGCTTCGTGGCAACACGACACTCCCACTCCGATGCTGTAAGACAACAAATATCACCATGATAGAGAACCTTACGAACCAGTGTGTTTCAAACGCGCACAATCAATAGAAATTTCGGAAACCATGCCTTACCTTCAACCACCATTTTCCTGTAGAAAGCCTCTATAACAAAGATAACATCATATCAATCGTTTGACAGTTTTGAAAAAATATAAAAAATACTGAAACAAAACAACATGTGTGTGGTACGAAAGTATAGTATATCTACCCTTCATTCTGAAACCTTTTGTTATCATACCATACACTACACCATCGTACCATTTTATTACATTTACAATCTCAAAATATATTTATTCATGCATCTGCAGAAAAAAAATATATGTGCTGACTATAAAAGATGTGATATACTGCATCTCAGAAAGGCCAATATTGAAACATGAATAATGAATGATCATACTGAAAGAGCATACTCAACAGACTTCATAAACAGAAGACAATATATGATCAAGACATATAATAATGATACTATAAAAATAATATTCATTTTAGGCCATGCCAACGAAACATTAATTAACGCTCACAAACAACTGTGTTATACTTACACTGACGTTAACGGATTTGCTACTTAGCCGCGTCTGAAGAACGTCTAAGTTCTCTGAACGGTAACTGAATGCGCAACTCAGCATACCGGCCATTTGAATGTCCGATTGATTGGCATAATGCTGTATTCTAAATAACAAGAAATAATTTTTATATAATACCGTCTCCACAATCATGGACGAGGTATAAGATGAATTTAGTATATTGTATTTGGTCTATATTACAACATACTGTTCACTTAGTCATTACTTACAAGGAATGAATTAAATTCTGGCCAAAAGGATGCAATGGCCAAGGGGCATCTATGTCAGGCGATTGGTAAGAATTTTGTCCGACGTTTGAAACCGGTTGTGATATTACAAGGGCGGCTAAACACCATGCTTGAACTAAATCGGGACGTTCTAACTGCGCAGCAACGTTTGCATTGTATTGACACATCGCTGGGATGTCGGTGATATTGATGCTGGAGACCGAAGAAATAAAATTATCCGATTGACATATCAGCGATCACGCAACAATGTTATCAGTCACTTACACGTATTTTTCAGCGAGCTCCTTGTTAACGAAAAATAATGACGAAGCATCGTATATGATTACCATGAAATGATAATTTTTACAACATGACCTGTGAGTCATTCTGCCAGTATTGTGTAATCCGCGATTCAGTTTCTAATGAACATAGAACAATTGTTGATAAAAAGTTCGTGCTGTAATTATTGACACAAACGTGTTCACTTACACGGTCTTGAAAATAGAAGGAACTAATGGGAATGTTGTCGTTTGACTGTACATATGAATTCGAATATATGTGCATAAAATGTTCTCCATTGCCAATTCCGTTCCCTAACGCAGACAGAGCCCTGGGTGTTGTGCTCTCCGGTTTCATCGATGTTCTTCTGGTGTACGATGCACGACCAAAACATACAAGAATACCTATTGAAACACTGAATTAAGTTCTAGTACACCAAGCTTCCATATGTTACTGTCTGTTTACATACCGACACAACAAAACTTTGCGCCCGATGTTCTAGGGAAGGGTATATAGGCGTCCTGATAGTTTGTGTATATATTAGAGGAACTTAAAAAATTCGCGTTGTCTTGAATATCGTATCCTATGTGATTACTTTCATTCTCGTCTTTTTTACATGTCTATAAAAACAAAAAAATATGTCGGACATTATTCTGGATAAATAATGAAAGTTCGATAAATGGGTGTTTTGTTTTTACTTGCTCCAAAGTTGCAATCAATTGTCTGAGACACGGTTCTAAACAGGATCTGTTCTTTTTTACTCGCTGTTGAGCAGTTTGCTTTAAGACTTTCAACAGTTTTGCCATTGTTGTATTGTCAATCGTTGTCCCAGGGCAGAACTGGAACGTCGGTTGCGCGCTATACGGGTAATTTGCGGGGAAGTTAACTTTTAATATCACGTTGTAACTTTTGTTGGATGCTGTTACAGTACAAGTGCGTTCTACAGCATCCATTGCATTGACCTAGAAAGGCAGAATAAAAATGTTATTTTATGGAGTTTTAACTCGTTTTCGTTTATCTTACCTCTATATTTGGTATGTTCATATTTATTAAAGAAAATTCTTGTTGGAGAGTCTTTGGTTGCGTAGGGGACGATATTTCTTTATTATTCTCAATATACGTATCTGTTTCAGAATTTATCAAAGGTTCGTCAACCTTTGTTACACAATTCATTTCACGATCATTTTGCGTGTCATTAAGTTGTAGCTGCTGGACGGACTGTAATGTTCCTGAATATTAACAAGTCTATTAGTTCAATGAAACTAAAAATATTGTTCTATTCGCAAACAAGATTTACACACTTAAATTATTATCTTCCGAGTATTGAGTATAAATAGATGCACCATCATCCATGTCATGTCCACACAGCTGAAGAATATTCTTTATCAAACACTTATATAAACAAGAAACAGAATTTATTGAATAATACGTGGACATACCTTCTTCACAAACGGGTCAATTTTATATATTCTCAAACATTGATCTTTTGACCAAGTAATCAACTCAAAGTCAGCATTTTCTGTAAATTATGAACACGTTACATATTTTTTTCCATTGTATAAAACGATATTTCTGAAATACCTAATTTTTGATGCCTCCACTGAAACTCAAGAACAACATCAGTGTGTCCCACAAAAGTGTAAATAGGCGCACTAAGATTAGTTGTGTTCCATAATAATAAACTATTCTCTCCGCGTCGTAATTGAGGTACCACTATTGTCACCAAACCTTCTCCAAAAGGCTGTCAATTAAGTACATCAATTTATATATGCAAATGATCTTGAATGCTGTTAAACAGAGTATTGTTTTACCGTATATCTAGCTCTCCATACTGGTGAGTCAGTTGTCACAATACTTTCAGCTCTACGTGGATTGCTAATATCAAATATCTTCACTGTACAATCCTGACTAGAAGTGGCCAGCTGATTTTGTTGAAATGGGCACCAATCTAAGCCATGTATCTAAAATAACTTTCTTGATTTGTATATTACTTAAGCACATAAACGACAGCAAATCAAAGGGAAGTGTATACTTTTGTTAAGTGAGCAGCTATGTACTGCACAGGACTATTTCCCTTTCTTTGATCCCATATTTTAATATCCCCATCATGAGCTGTGGCTAATATATTAGGAGACAAACTATTCCATCTTACTTGAGAAGACCCTGCTGTAAATACAATTACATATCCAGTTATATACCTATACATCTAACTGTTGCTCAAACAACTTTCTCATATAGGAATCTGATCTTACCAACTGCAGACAAAGATAAACAAGGTTTCCTCTGATCTTTCACATCCCAAATATGTATAAAGGTATCTATGCTACAAGAAGCAATAATATCTGGTTCTTTGGGATGCCAGTTCAAGTCACTCACTACTCGTGTGTGTGCCTTAAGGCTATTTGTTGTCTGCAACTCATAGCCACCACCTCCAGTGAGCGACAATATTTCTATACGTGTGTTGCTCTACAATTAGCAGTCAATTAGACAGATAAAAATATACAATCATAATATATATATACTCTTCAATTACTAACAGAAACAGCACATAGATGAGAATTGGAACTGGTTGGATTCCATTCTGCAGTGCCAATTTCATATTTACTCTGCCTCTGAAATTTCCTGAGGGTATCAGCACCCTCGTCCAAATGTTTTACTGCAAAACACCTACGTCTGAAGTCACATAGAAACAACAATACCATAAATAAACCACAGCCAACGAAGGACAAGGAAACAAGTGTTGAACAGATCTTACAATATTATTGACATCTATGGTTTACGTTAGAACAGTGAAGGACATGTACAATATAGTGGGGTTTACCCATTAAAAGTCCTAACTGACCAAAATATTTGGCGGCACATATAAACAGAGATTTAAGAAAAAAGTTGGAGTAAATAGAGTGTATGTATCTCGGTATTTACCCAGCAAGTAACACGTAGTTACCAGTCGCATCCACGGCCATACTATTAGCCTGTGAAGGACAAAAATAATTTAGAAATGAATAACATTCGAGCGATATAAGGTGTAAGATGGAAATTTAGATTTTTTACGAGAATTAACTCTCGGACATAGATTCAGGAGACGGGAGACAGTACCTGCAAATCTCGGTGCTCCGTGACCACATAGTCGCTACCCCAACGTTTTGACATTTTACCAATAAATTCGAAGTCCTGTCAGCATTCTGCGAGGTTAGAATTGAACCAAACACCGCGGGGACTAAAGTTAAACCGAATATACGAAACCGCGCACACACACAGGAGTTCGTAATGCAACGCGTTTATACGCATGTACCCACTCTTATCGGTGGTATACGATTGGTAGGTCGAAATTCACATATACACTACCATTCAAAAGTATACAAACACTTTCCTATTATTACCGATTGTAATTTAAATAACAAATAGAAAGGCCAGGCAATGATTTTTAGCATCTGTTATTACCACAGGTAACTGTGATAGAATATAATACGATAAAATTGGTTTGTTATGTGTACATTTGTTAACTAACAGTGTTAAATCTAACAAAATTAGTTCATTACTCGAAAAGTTCTACATCTTCAAGTTAATTTCTAATTTACGGGTCATACCAAAATGGTTCTTCAGCACATGAAAAGTAATTAGTTCAAAAACAGTTACAAAGCAATCAGTTAAAGGAATACACTATTGATAAGTTTTTAAATAAATAATATAAATTTATAATCTGTTTATTCCGTAAAAAGGTAATACAGATTTTAGTACCGTTTCGTGTATTATTATGTATTACAAAATATACAAAGTGTCCAGATACTTATGACCGGTAGTGTACATCCCCCTCTACGAGCAGTTGACGACAAGGGGGACAAAGAACGGGGGGCAACGAGGTAAAAAGAGTGAGAGAGAGGGAAGTTCAAGACGCTTCGTTGTGCTATTTCTGTCAGGTAGGACGCATATATTCGCTGTTGCATATAGGCGTACTGACACCAAGCAAGACGCAAATAATTGGTAAACTGTGGAAATCAGGAGCGAAAGGGGTTCAAGTTTGTTCGACCTTCGGTCAGACGAGGCGTAGTTTCATTGAATTTCTAGTGTTCTCGTTCGACAGTGGCCGTGATAATTCGAGTGATAGTGACAACAATGTCCGTGATTATGGATTGTTTTCGCCAGTAGCGGACGTTGTGAAGTTTCTTAGCCACTTTGTTTAGCTGACTTCCCCGACAAGGAATTCCGATCTATTGGGTGACAGGTCGATCAACGATTTTCTGTTCAGCGCGGGTTTTTCTAATAGAAAAACACCGTCTTTTGTTTCTCAAGGGTAGTTCTACATCGTTTACGGTGAGTTTTCCCTCTCTTCAGCTGGCACGTCACTAACCCGCGACGCAAGAACCCGTCGTCACGGCTGAGACTCAAATTGGACAACCGATTGCCGTAATCGGGGTACACACGGACGTAAATTCCGTTTCGATATCTTTAATTAGGGATCTGTGATGTACAAGCTCGGCGACGCAGGAAAAATCATTACCGCTACAATTAAATTCGTGCACTCGAAGAGGAAAGGAATTTTCATACACATAAGAAGGATGTACAAGGACTCGATAAGTCTTCGATGTCAACGAAGCTTTTTAACATTTCGATTCTATTGAACGCCTTGGCCGTTGCGACTGAGAAACGAGGTCAAGTTTTGCGCCAAAATAACACACCGACAGGTTATCAACTCCAACGTAATGGAGTGTTAATGACATAAGAAGCGATCCACCAGGAGATGCACCAAGGGTAACCAGTACAGAGACGCTGCTTTTATGTCATAAAGGAAAACTACTGTCAGAGAAAATGAAGCTGTTGGAGAGTACACGCTTTGAAGCTATTAACAGTGCCTTGTCGATCAAGACTGGAGACAGCAAAATAATAGGCCGGTAGGTTAATTAAACTTACATTTATACTATTTCTCGTGTAATTTAATAGAATACTGTTTAATATTGATCATCTTTGTGATTTTCAGAATAGAAAGCTACTCTTGTAAAATGGCTGGGAATGATAAACAGCTGTACAAACGTTTCAATGCAGAACAAGGATTTACTCCACATGATCTTCAAGCTTTGTCACCACCACAAACATCCCTGGGAACTTCACCTGCTCAAAGGTACTATAGGTATCAAGAATCACTGGTTAAAATGTAATGCAGGGATAATAATAATATAGCTTGCTTCAATCCGCTGTGGACGGGACCACGTGATGCGTGAGCATTCGCCTGGATGAGAAATTTTGTAACCGTGCGGCGGAGAAATGATACACGCTTGAAAATTCTGTCATAACAATGATAAATCTTATTGAACGTAAAAAAGACTAACAAGTCCTGATTGATCGTATTTTGACAAGAGCATTTATTAATGATATCTTCAATCTGGGGTTTAAAATCCTACATTGTATGATACTGTCCGAAATAATCGCCTACTTGCAGGTCTGGTTTATTTGAACAAGTGTCACAATAATATCATGTTTATCTCCAGCCTCCCTTAATTTTTCTATAATTTAAAAAAGCATAGGAAAAATCTTGAAATATTAAAGTAGTTTTGCTTTGATCGACCTAAGACTGGCGCGGTCACACAGAAATATACCTACTCGGGAGAAGCAAAGATTTACTGTGTAAGACATTTAATCCACGGATAAGATAAGACTCGTGAAATGAAAACATCTTAGTTTCTTCAAAGGAAACGCCACACAAATCATAATCGGTTCAGAGCGGACCGCTATGTGCTTGCACGCGCTTAGAAAGCTTTCGACTGCCCGCGCACACACGCGTTTGCTAAGGGTCCATATAAAATAAAAGAGATAAATAAACATATTATTTCTCTAATAAGCATACTATATACTTCTGTACGGATTCAGTAATAAGTCATATATTTTCTTTTTACAGTCGCAGTGTTTCTGGCGATGAAGATGGTCCACTATGCGATACGATCAGTAGAAAAACATTATTCTATTTGATTGCCACTTTGAATTCAGCTTTTCACCCGGATTATGATTTCTCTGATGCTAAGAGTCACGAGTTTAGCAAAGAACCAAGCTTGACGTGGGTGATGAACGCGGTAGATAGCAATTTGAGCGCGACTGCCGGTGATCATTATCGTACCCTTAGGACGGCACTTTGGGCGGCAATCGATGATGAGATATCATTAAGCGAATGTGATATTTATAGGTAAAACGTATAAAACTTTATGGGAACAAATACAGGAAACGGCAGCTACATTAAATATACAAAAATATTTTAGTTACAATCCAGACTTTGTATCTGATCCATTTGGAGAAGATGGATGCTTATGGTCTTTCAATTATTTCTTCTATAATAAGAAGTTGAAACGCATTGTGTTTTTCACATGCAGAGCAATAAAGTAAGTAGCGCTTGACTCGTAAGCTAATTTGGTTTAATGTATACGTTTTAAAATATTGTTTCTTTTTCTGTATGTTATTTATAGTCCTCTCTACGTGCTAGATTCCGGTGTTGGCAGTCACTTTGCCATGGACGAAGATGAAGATAGATACTAAATTTATTATACATATTTACAAACTTTACCCTCTCCACCTTTATTAGTTCTGCCTTATAAAGGCACGAGTGAACATTCAATTTCACCTATTACATAGAATTTTTATTATGTACAACGATACATCTTAATTTTCATAATTAGTCTATATATTTTCCTTTGCAGTGATGTTTGTTTATAGATTCAAAATCTATGATAGAAAAGTCTACCATATTGCTTTTTAGTTTATTATAACACTGACGTTTAATTGTAGTCAACGAAGAATCAAACGGAAGAACAAGGTGGGAGATTTTTTTTTCTTCCTATTTTTCCCCCAGGTGAATAGTTTTTCATGTACAATATGAATTAATCTATTTTAAGTATACAGATCAACTAAATATTAATCAAAATGTTTAAAGTAACGAAAAAATTCTTGGTCTTTACCTACAGATTAACATAATAAAGGTTAATGGATTTGTAGATTGATGTTGTGCTATGTTGCTCTGATTTCATTTAGATTATTGGACCAGTCACAGAAATAACAATAGAACTAGGGTATTAGAGCAATAGCAGTAGATCTGAAAGTGCAGCATTAACTTCCGAATCCTAGTCACTATATGTTTAAGTTACAAAGAAAGTTTGTAAACTGTTCGTACTATTTACTGTAAATGTATCTTCAAATGTTTTCGATATATTGATACATTCAGTATAAAACTGTAATTTTCTGTCTTTAATGTATCTTTAAAAAAAAGTGCACACGGTATTCCGTATTTATATACAAATCTTTATCTTTTAAAAGTACCGCAAAATATTTCTGTCCAGTTCGATAGATTTAAAGATTTATAAATACACTGTGCAATAGATTGGTAGATTCATTAGCTTGGTAGATTTTCCTCAAATTTTTACATAGAATGAGAACTTAATTTTATGTATCGATGAATATATACATGTGTATATGTTTTGTAAACTTAAAGAAATCAACACTGTGCTCGAATTAGAATATTAAATTTCAATGACAGTGATTCTGACATGATTTCTATAAAGTATGTGTACTTTAGTTTCTTTAAGACTACACGTTTATCTGTCGACGTTTCAATAATGTTTCTGAATAAATATAATTCTCCTTTACACCATCTTTGTCTTTAGTTACTTTTACAAGTAGTGGTCACATTGACTTGTGCAAAATTAAATAAGTAATAAGCAGAAACATCGTGCCTAAATTTATTAAATAATAACTTAAAACCTAACTTACCTAAGTTTACTAGGCAACTGAACTTATTTGTACATCATAACATCTGGTGACTGATACATGCACATGTAGGCGTCGCATAAGAGTCGTTTTGCATGTTCGGGCAAATGACGGTCATCCGTTAATTCAGTCAAATAATTTCCACCTTCTTCACTTAGCCAATACGGAAAGTCAGGGCACGGAACCATTTCTGGTATGTTATAGCCGTTTTGTTCCCCTGAAGATGGTTAAACGTGCAATAATAATTTCATACGTGTATACAGTTAAACTGTATGAATAATAAAATTTATAAAACTAACAATACCTTTTCTGTCAGCCATAGAATCGAAGAAACACCATGGTGCCTCTGATCCGGAACCACATTTCACAAAACAAACATAGTGAGACGTCTCAATGCAAACCACTGCCGACAGTTCCAGATACAATCGCGGAACAGGACAATGTTCCTGTAAGATGGCGAATTCCATTGGTACAACAAGCTTTTTTGGTTCATGATTTGTTCTTCGTTCATGACGATGCACCTGAATCGATACATTTTACAAATGCCGTAACTTCATATGAAATTATATAAATAGAGATTTTTTCTGTTTACCTTTTCCAAACATTGTAAACAAAATGCAATACTTTCTAGTCCGACACCACATTGTCCGTAACATTCCTTGCATTCGAACTCCGCTAGTTTCCCACAAACAGTACATTGTCTAGGAGCTACAAATCAACCCGTTAAAAGTTAGTGAAGTATAAATACTTAATTATTGTAATAAATGATTTAATCCGGTGCTTTAATAATACTAACAATCTTCAATTATGTCCGTTACATCCAGCAAAAGTGTTGGCTGAATTTTTGGATACATTTTGAATGATTTTCCAAATCGAGGCATTTGTATAATCAGGCAGGAAGGAACTTCTTTTAATCGTATATTACTTGTCAGGAAACTTTGTTCCAATAGTTGCTGTACTGTTGGAAGATTCAGATGATCGTCCTTTTCAACGAAAAGTTGATAGTGATACGCGTCCTGACCGGAACTTAGTTTCAGAAAAGGTTCAGCATTCAGGATTTGCGCAACCAATGAAGTTAAAAATTCTTCGGGATCTGGTAAAGGTTCAAATAATTTTAAGTCACCTTCAAGTATGCTTCCAACTTAAATATACTGTAAGAACAAACCTTTTTCTTCACTAGTCAACCCAGATACTGATGACAGTTTCTCAAGTAATGTCCGAAGTTTCATTACATGATCCGCTCTAACGAACATATTTTTTCTAAGTGGATTTACTATTTCTTCGCGTAGTACTCTTTGCACTTCTTCGTATTGTGGACAGTCTTTTTCATTGGGTGGTCTGTTAAATGATATATTATTTATAACTGAGCATGATTGAACTAAATAGAATTTAATTCTTACCTAAATAAAAGATTGTCAAACACACTAGTGAATGTGAACATGCTGAAAAGAGTGGCATCCAAGTAACAGGAATTGTGATGACCTTGAATTCCTCTATATTTTCCACAAATACTTTCTAGATTCCCTTTGACGGAAATAGGCCGCACCATTCCGACTATTACAGAGCTCTCCATGTTTCCAAAATTGTCTGTATTGATCGATGTTGCTGGATCATCAATTTTTGCCTGTGACAATGTCGACTTTTTATTAGACAAATATTACGAGACAAAAGCATTTACCATTGCATACTTACGACCATTGTATCATAGCGAGAACATTGATCAAGCTCTGTAAAAACAGCTCTGTAAGGTCGACAATGAAAATATCTAACATCTTTATAAGTTCCATCAGTTCCTGAAGGATGACTATCATCCTAAATATGAAGTAATTAACTGTTTTATAGTTTGGATGTCATATACTGTTAGGAAGCTTTGAATAACTGGACATACCAATTCTACAGCTGCCATTAATTTGCCAGGAGTAATACCAGGAGGGGTACCAATCCAGCGAATGATTCCATAGTGCACATCAGAATCCAGAAGCACTTTTACATTGGAACCAACAATTAAATCTGAGGCTTCTGGTCGTCCAAATTTCTTATTTTCATTTTTTTCTGGTGTACTACCTGTAACAGTAATGACAATTTATATTCATACTCGTTTACAGAAGTTCAAATAAAAATATTTTCGGAAAACAAATTTTGCGACGCGAAGTATGCGGAAAGCCTTGTGAAACAATTCGGAAGACTATAAACACGGAAGTGTCGTACAGTTTATATGAATGTGCATTTTCTTACTATGATTCAATAGGCTTAAACGTTCCGAAGTTCCATCAATGTCACTGTACACATTTGAATCTACGTCACTACTCCATTTGTGCTCTAATACAAAGAGAGGAATGTTTTGCAACATAGCAGCCATTTTACAATAAAATTATAATAAGTTTACAGTATTGAAAGACTTGCCGGCAGCACTGAGACAAGCTAAGATTATGGCTATTTTTAACTGCCTTGGTTATTCTTAACTCCCTCTACAGCATGCAACGAGTGAAGACTAGCACACTATACCATATAACCAAAAAGCCAAGCTGAACATTTATTTTTACGTGTTTCTTATTACCAGATTGTGTATATGCATGGACATTTGTGTTTTTAGCTGCACTGCTATCATTTTCCACTGACATTGCCTTAGTCGACTGAACATATTCTTTTGACAGAGATCTTTGATCTCTGTTATTATTTTTGTTGTCATCAAAAGTAGTGAATCTCTCTAAAAGAACAGGTGGTATAGAATCCAGTACAGACTTTTTTTTATCATTCATGTAATTCTTTCCTGAATCTGATTTCACAAAGAAATCTGAAATAAAAGGTACATGAATGAACAGGTATTCCTAGGACAACAATAAAAAGAATATTTATTTGTATACTTTTGTCTACATTCCCAAGACCATTGGGTCCCTCAGGCTTCAATGGAAAAATGTTACTCAAGGTAACAAACCTTCCTTCTGAATGGGTAGAAACAAAGTACTCTTTACTTAACAAAGCTGTTTTGGATGATTCTTGTCCTTCCTATAATGAAACAATATATAATAGTTATATTAACTGACACATGTATACAAAAGACATAGCTAACATTTATGTTATCACAAATTATTCAACAATGTATATTTTACAAACATATGAAGGTATCGCATTAAATTACCAGCAAATCAAGGCCAAAGTAATACCCTTGACCAAGTTGTGGCACAGGTCCAATGTATTTAATGAGAGCCAAATACTTGGTATATCCTTGAGGATCAGGACAATACCAAATGGTATCTTCTATCATCAGACTCATTAGTTCTTTGCATAACGGCTTGTGATTGGCCAAGCGTACTCTTTCTTGAGGCACAGTTACCGCAGGCAGGAACTTCCACACATCTGATGATACAGGAATTAAATCAATTCTGTGACATCGCCAGTCTGTGCCATGCCAGACTTCTGATCCTGTCGTGTCAACAACACGTATTCTGAGTGCGCTGTCTCCCAAATCCTCGACTGCCTCTACGAGCATGCCAAGACGCAATGTATTGACATTTTTGTCACATTCTCCGGATATACGCATCAGAATGGTATTTTTCATGGCAACATAATGCTGGAGGACCTGACGGTCCTCCTTGCTGCTAACAGTTCGCTTTTCCATGATTAATCTCTAACGGACAATGTGATAAAATGACTTGTCAACCAAGACGTGTGCAAAGCACGCAGACAAAATACGACGTTTACCTCCGTCATCGTGTAGTTTTTATTTCGAAAATATAAATCAGACAAAGAGAAGTGTTGTATACACATCACATATTGTATTCGCAAGATTTGTGAACGATCAATAAAGTCTTACGAAGAAATATTTGTCGAGGACACATACGGACATTCGGACAATCAAATTCAAGCACAAAACTTGTACTTTGCTGTCAATTTGTATAGGGGATTTGTTAGTGAGAAAATCGAATTTTATTACTGACAGCACTGAACGTCAAGGATTTGTTTCCATGCTTGAAAATACAGTAGAGCACTCGATAATAGGTTTGTGGCAACACAAAAAGAGACGGAAAACGGTGAAGCGATTAATGACGAGTTATTTGCGTATAGGACAAATCGAACTGTTAATAATTCTCAAGCCTGACTGTAATTATTTATTGTAGCGTTCAATGGAAACATTCCCAGCAAGGGTGTTCAATATAACATAGTGAAATCAAAATCCCCTGGTAGTTCACAGCTCGTTCATCCCGCGATTTATGGAACCCGTGGATATCGTGTTTTAAATATGAACGATTTTGGGCACATCGATATGTTGAACACTGATTCCTCGCATATGTCAGGTGATACTGGCTTTAGTGAATTATTGCGATCAGCAGAACAATTGTCTGCTGCCGTTGAAGGAACCGAAGAACTCCCTCAGGTTGAGAGAAATCTTCGTCAAATATTAGATGCCTCCAACGAACTCTGGTCTCGTGTCACGCAGACCGGCACACAGGACAATGAAGTTCAGGCGTAAGAATATGTTCAGAGTTACTATTTATAATTTACTGAACTATTTTCTATATGTTTATATTAAAATCTGTGCTTATAACGGAAAATTTATTGAATTACTTGTGATCATTTTTTAAGTACATCGTAACCTAGAATATTCAGAAATTTCTGGCGCCAAAACATCTTTTTCCAGGCAATTAAATTTTATCTCAAAAATCGGGGCTCTTTATTCTGTAGATACAGTTATATATTTTGTTGAAGTTATAAAATATAATTATTCATAATTTTAGGCACCTTTTGCTTGGATCTCGAGGTGTTGATTTACCTCAAATATCACAGAAGTTAAATTCACTTAGTGCAAGACGTACATTTGAACCTTTAGATCCTATTGCAGACACAGATATAGTGAGTTACCTTAGAAATGAAAAGGAAAATGCTATTTTGTCAATCATTGAACAAGTTCACAAAGATGTAAGAATTTTTACCTCACTTTCTTATGTAAATAATATTTCAAGGAATTTCAAAACTAATAATTTTATATTTTAGACATTCGAACTTACCAGAGTTCAGCAAATGGAACATATGTTGGGAGAATGGAAACAAATGCGATTTGAGATAATAAATGCTATGACAGCTCCATCAGGGGAGTTAGTAGATTTACGTGGTACTCCCCAACGTACTAAGCTAGCTGGATCAATGGTCAGTGGTTTATCCAATGTGGAGGTAGCTTATGTTAAGGAATTACAAAATTACAATGACCATGTACTCAGAGGAATAACTAGACCAAGCTTATTTAATGCATTTTGTAAAGCTGCTGAGTCATTCAATGATAAAAAAATTGTAGATCTGTGGCAAATGGTTAAGTACATGGTGGACATACCACCAATTCCAAGGGAAGATCAAATTAAATCTAGGAGTACTCCTATTGTTGAGAAGAGAATTGTATTGCAAGCTAGAAAATATTTGGAAAATAGATACAGAGATTTTATGACCTCTGTCATTAGTGAAAACTTGGCACAGGCAAAGAGGGGTGGCATCCCAGGCACTGTGCCATTAGTTAAAAGTTTCGTAAGCGTGAAAGTACAAAATCTAAGAGATTTAGAAGATGTTGTGGTAGCAGACAAGCCATTATGGCCTTTAGTTTATTATTGTATGAGAGTCGGCGATTACAAAGCTGCATTGCAGTGCCTTAACCAGTGCAATGCAGAATTTCCAGAGTTTAAAACTGCTTTAGAAGAAGCTTGCAATGATCCAGAGAAACATCCCAGCAGTTATGCAGAATCAAATCTGAAACTGCATTACAGAAAACATGTTAGATCCGTTACAGATCCATATAAAAGAGTTGCATACTGTGCATTGGTTCCATGTGAAACTGAGGATTTGCATGCTGATGTGATTTGCACAGCGGATGATTATTTATGGCTAAAATTGTGTCAAGTTAGAGATCAACCAGATTCCGAAAATAAATTGACATTAGATTATTTACAGACCACAATATCAGAAATATATGGTAACACAAAATTTACGTTTTATATTGACAGTCCGTGATAACAATAATGTTTCTTAATTACAAACATATTGCAGGGGAATCCTATTATCATGCACATGAGCAGCCATTCGTCTATTTTTCAATGCTATTTTTGACTGGTCAGTTCGAAGCTGCAATTGAATTTCTAGCAAGAGGCGCAGGAGCAAGGCTCTTACCGCATGCAGTGCATTTAGCGGCAGCCATGCACGAACATAATTTATTAGGTGTAAGTCAGAGTGTTTTAGCGCCTCTTCTAAGCGTTGATCCTGCGGACAAACCACCAGCGAAAAGATTAAACTTCGCTAGATTGATATTATTATACGTTAAGAGGTTTGATTCCACCGATCCAAAAGAATGCTTGCACTATTTATTCCTATTAAGGTTTGTATGAAGAAATATGCGATGAATATGCAGACTAGAAACTTTATTTTTTTATTTGCTCTAATTTTAGGAACATGAAAGATCCACATGATCGCAATATGTTCGCTGCATCAACCGCAGAAATGGTAGTTGACGCTTCACTCGCGAACAGAACTCAATTAGTCGGAAAAATTGACAAGGATCGTTGGATTCCTGGAGTCTTAGATCAATTCCAAATTAACACGCAAGACGTGATAAATATAAGCGCAGATACATTATATAGGAAAGGTCTCTTAGAAGATGCTGTAACAATGTACGATCTAGCTGGTAATCACGAGAAGGTTCTTAGTTTACTGTGCACACTCTTGGCTCAAGTAGTTAGTCAAAATTCTTCGGCATTAAGATCTCGATTGCAACTTACGTCTACCGACATAAGTACAAGGTAATATTAAAATAAAATGTAAAATACTACGGATTTTATTCAGTGTCACATAAACATGGAATTTTTGTTCTTAGGTATCAAGGAATCGAGATACAAGCGCCATCTGAATTAGTTTCTGCTTTTCATACTTTGAGACATCTAATGGTATTCTTCGATCAGTTTCACAATGAACAATATCAAAGCGCCCTTAGGGTAAGAAATATGATATCATTAATGTTAGAACTGAGATATAGAATAGTTCTAACATCTTATGGAAGTTTCTGTTATTTATTTTGAAGTATAATCTTGTAAAAAGATCATGGTCACTTTACACCATCTAGGATGAAGAACGTTGAAGCTAGGAACTATACGAAATTAAATAGGATGTTAGCACTATCGGATTTCATCTCCGTGTTTTTACACGCTTTATAAATTTGAATTTATTACAGACTATCGGAAAGTCCAAATTGTTACCGTTACATGTAAGAAAAGTCGATGAGAGAGTGAATGCTCTGCGACGCGTGTCGCCAGAAGTGGCTGGCACATTGGCGGATGTTCTGTTGGCAACCATGACGATACTCTATCGTCAATACCAGAAGTTACGATCTATGGAGCCAGGCGATGAGGAAGCAAGAAAACAACAGCTTCTGGATCTTCGGGAACAAGCACGCGCGTTAACAAGTTTTGCTGGAACCCTTCCATACCGTATGCCAAACGAAACTAACAGCAAACTTGTACAAATGGAAATACTTATGTGTTGAACACTAAATTCCTTGTGTCTCTCATTGTTTTATTTGAACAGAATACTATAATATAATATATTATAATAACGCATTGGGCATATTTTGTGCAGGTACTGAATTCGCAAGGCACAAAAACTAATCAGTGTTTTATTTTATCCATGCTCAGAGTATTATTAGATACTGTATATATTTTTTGTACCTCCATAACTGAAACACGAAGAGAATTGTAAACATAATGAGCATATTGTTTTCTAAAAATTGCAGTTGAGCATTACAGAATGGACATAATAAATATTTCGTAATTTGTTCTTTCGGTAGATTCAGTAACATGTTTTTATTTGGTGGAATGATTGTCATCTGTATATGTTTTGAGACATGTGACAGATATTCCAGAGCTAAGATCTTGTACTTTTCCTTCCTTTACCTGGCAATAACCATTATTAATATTCCATTTTATTGTTTCTTCAATTTTACATTGAGTGGCTAAGAATACTTACAGCTCTGTAGTCAAGGAACATTTCTTTGAAAGCCACAAAATCTGTGAATGTTGATAATACTTCAAAAACCTCACCCTCCAATTCATTCTGTCTGTTACTAAAACATTTAAGAACATGGATGAATCCATTAAAAACACTTATGATATTTACATGCAGTGTGTAAACAGTTTTAATGGATACCTTAAAAGTTGTAGGAACGTGCTTATGTCGAAATGTGGTATTACTTTTCCTAAGTAATTAACAATATAACTTTCTACAGTTTTATTCTGTAAAAATTCAAATATTTATGATTGGATACACAGCTATGAAAAAGGGGATACACTGTCTTAAAGTACTTACATATTCATTAAATATGCTTGTATAAATTAATTTATTTTCTTCTATGGGCTCAAAAACATCCCAATATTGGTCCAGAAACTTTTTTTGAATGGCATTAAACTCACTTTCTAAAACAAACAGTTGTTTTAAGCAATAGAATCGTTTTTTTTAATGGCATTTTCAATTCATACCTAACAAAATATCTTCTATGTGACCAATAATCTCATCAAAAAGTTCATCTTCCTCATTTTTCAAACTTTGCTCCGTATTTTCGTCCTTATTTATTAAAAGACAATTATCTGTAAAATTATGTTGGTGCATTAATTAAAGTTACGCTCATGTTGATTTGTTTACAGATATACATGTACACATAACAACGCATACAAAAAATGTGTAATATTTAAAGAAACAGTTTCTAACAATAACGCGAACGAACCTAATATTTCTCCAGACATAATTCAAATTGTTACTGAAAGTAAGGCACTGTTTATTTATGCGATAATACAACTGTTTACCTGTCAGACTGACATATCGATAGGTCAATAATTGCTGAGAACGAGAATCGAAATAACGACAACCAATCAGATTCCTCAACGTTGCGGTTCAAATTTTTTACAACACTTTCACGGTGAAACAGTTTCACCGGTCGTATGATATAAAATTAATTTAAAATGTGCTGTTAGTTTCACGAAAGAACATCATCTCACTGTAAAATTCTATATTATGATTTTATTCCATAGATTTGGAAGTTATTAGGAAATATTACAGAATAACTGTATAATTTCGATAAGTCTTCTATTCTTCGACGAAAACGTGACAGAGCCTGAAACTTTCGTGTACATTTTGTTCCTTTTTATAATATTCGGCAAAATTTTGACAAAGTAAATTTGTGACCGAAAGGTAAGATTTTGCAGCTGTAGTAAGAATTTTATAGTGTTTTCTTCGTTTTATAGGTCGCACGTATCAATGGAGATATATACTTTTGACAAGAGTCTTCAAGAAAGACTGGTAGAATTAACAGAGATCTTATCCAGCAGAGGAGAAATCGTGCCAGCTTCCCAAATTCAAGCAGAATGGTGTTATCATGTGGAACTTGTAATAGAACCTGTTGGTTGGCAGGCATTGTGGAAAATACCACGCTTAGTATGCGAAGATTTTCAGATCCACTATCCCACCATAGTAGTAGTAGAAGTAGAGCAAGTTGATTTTGCTGATCTGTCTGCATTAGTTAAAATCACTGCTGTTCAAGATGAAATTCATTTACCCGAGAAGTACGACGTACCTCTTGTGGAACTTTATCCAACTCATAGTCAAGCAAATAATGTATTGGATATGGTGGGCACTTCCAACTGTATCGATCAACTAAGATTCTTTTATAATTACTTATGGATGCCGTGGGACTTAGATGACGATGACAGTGCTGATTGGGTGTCTGTACATTTAGAGACAAGAATTAGATTGTTCTTTGACATGAAAAGGGGTGTCGTTAGTAAAGAGACTAGTGATGTTATTAGGAGTTTGATAAGGGAGGGCAGAGAAGTTCAGCAGAAAATATCAAGATTGGAGGATACTATCTCTGAAGAGGAAGAGTCTCATGAGGTAGTTGATGGGGGAACAGCATGTCAACTGATGAAACTTCACTTTAGACTGCAACAAATTAAGAGGGAGATGGAAGTTCTGGAGAATCCTGCGATGAGAGAAATCCTTGTGAAAAATCGAACTACATCCTTGATTAATGAAAAAATACAAAGAAGTGAAAGTAAAGAAAGATGCATGGAAGGATACTTTGTGTGGCTTGGTGGTACTCTGGAAGAAATGAAGGAAGCTATAAATAAAGTCCAAGTCTATTTGCCTGCAGAGTTATATTTTAAGTATGTATCATAAATTCTATATGCATTACATCAATCGATATTTAATTAAATCACCTTACATGTAGAATATCTGGATCTTTACACGAGACTCTACATGCTTGTGATTCAGGGGACACAGTTGTTGTCGCGGAAGGAACCCATTACATTAAAAGTGCTGGGAATCTGGAAGAAGGGGGTACCATCAGGGGAGTTCATAATGTGGAACGCACTATTCTTTCTGTGAAAGATTCTGAAACTGCACCATCATTGCTGGACTTTTCTGGCAATGAAGTAAATCATTTTGTTTATTTATTGTTAATCAGTGTTAACTGTTGTTCTTTTTTTAAATTATACATTTTCAGGTATTATTAGAAGGTATTACTGTAGATGCAGGAGATCTAAGAGCTGTTGTAATAGTCAGAGCTGGAATCACAAAGATAGTTAATTGTAAAATATGTGCTTCGAATCAAAGTATAGTCAAGTTGGGTGTTGTTGTTCTGCCCAATGCAAAACTGATTATAGAAAATACAGTTTTCGACGGCCTTGGAACTGCCCTAGTTATTTATAGTAACGGGGAAGTTCTTATGAACAACTGTAGTTTTAAAAATTGCGCAGAGGGCATACAGGTGTGTTGTTTATGTTCTTATGCTTATATAGTCACGAATGTTATTACATTTTAGTATTGTTCATTTAGTTGTATGACAATGTAAAACTGACAGCTAGAAATTGCTATCTGAGTCACTTTAAAGAATACGCAATGCGACTAGAGACACAAAAATATTTGCGCGGTTCGGACAACAAGTGTGGCGGCAAGGAATTATTAGTTGGTGTGTCTGAAGTTTCGTTGGACGAATGTAAATTCGAGGGCAACGGCAAAGGGGACATTATATTGAAGCATGGAAAGACATTTGCTCTGACGAAACAAGATGGAACCGCAAATATGGAAACTTAAAGTAATTCAACGAATTAAATATTTAGCAATTTTATATTTTTATTAACACGCATGTAATAATGCTCCTATGGAAACATTAAAATTTTGTATTTTTTTTTATACGAAACTCATAGAGGTAACTGTATTCTCGATTGTTCTTTTAACTCTTTGCGGACAGAGCGATTCGAAGTCATACGCTCTCTCGAGCCTAGTCGTTGCAACGACAGTTAATTCAAATCAGATATAAGTAGCTGATAGGCACATGTATGAGCTTTAGTGACTATGTTTATGGTTTGCGCCAAACATATAATATGCCTCGACTGTGCGCAAAGGGTTAAAGATTCAAAAGTATAAACAGGTTCATAGTACAGAAAGAAAACCCTTTAGTTATATTATTAATAGAAATTCATTGGAAAATATTGACAGCAAAGATTGCAGAACAAAGAAGGTGTAAGATTTAAATACAAAAAATGAGCGGGAATTGGTTTAAAAAGTTTCGTTAGCAAGTACACCCATAACGTCTAGATGGCAGCATCATTTCGATTTGGATTGATGTCGCGACACGTTCGGTAATTTAAGTGTTGTGCTTGATCCTAAGTGCAAATTATTCTAAATGTGGTTACAGTGTTTATTTAAATTAGGGACGAGCATATCAGCAACCTATTTCGTAAGCCTGCGTTTAGCTATCTTTTACAATGTTATTCCGAACAACATTCTATTCATAATCCACGTTACCTTTCTAACCTCACCGCGTTTCACGAATGTTTCCCCTTTATTCTGTTGGATAAAATATAATTGAACACCGTAATCCGTTCATTTATGTGGTGTATTCGAAATTATCATTGTAACGGTTTTCGAAATTGAATGCATCATTTATAAACATTTTTAAGTCAAGCCGGACTACCTAACCCAAAAAGCGTGTAGCATCGGAGTAGCGTCAACATATGCTTATGTAGTGTCTGTACACGAGCCTGTGCGAATGATATATACATAAGCACGTACGTATATGTGTACGTGTGTGTATATATATATAGAAAGAGATAATACGTCGCACGTGCACGGTACATCGTCGTGACGTAAACGATAATTTGATCCATACCGTTCATATCGCCGTATTTGTTTAATACCGTGGCTTATTCATGTCTATAAATGAATGCATAAGTACCTGGGCCATGTGGCCGTATCCATGTGAATACACGATGAATGAAGTATCGTGATTTAAATACTTTCGATGATGAATGAACATCCTTCAGAAACGATACCGTTTATCAGTCAGTCGGTCGCGTCTGGGTCTTTCACCTCTTAGACACGCGTGTGCATTTAGAATTACACGGAACAAGAGAACATTTTCTCATGATGTCTTATTATCTATTATCTATTGTCTTATGTCATATTATTTGTTACAAGATAAAATCAGTTCATTAAAATTTGGTTAAAAGAGTTCACTGTCGGGTCTACGGAAAAGTAACGGTCCCCATATGTATTTAAATTGCTTGTCTGGCTTAACATGTTATTGTACGGATAGTTAATAATGGAGAACCCCTTGTGTGGTTAATTGCAGAGATCCCACGGCGGTAGTAAGGTCTTCTCGATCCAGTATTTGCTGCGACACACGTCCAAGAAGATCATGGTGGAGACTACTTCACCGAACCAGTTGTCTGACAAGCAAACGCAGTTCGGTAACAATCGTCAGCTGGATCCGTCCGACAGCATCTTCGTTTTCAAGGACACGGAATCCGATTACGAGGAACCCGCGTCTGATGAGGAGGAGGTGAGTCCATAAATCGATTTCCAATTTGATCCTCATTCATTTCTAGTGGAATCCATTTCCACTCGTTACTCGACCGTCCGTTTTAAGCGTTTATAGCGTACACAATAACGATACAGCAAAATGACTGTAACCAGAAAAAAATGTAAAACACGGAAACGAGTTTTCCGTTCGGTTCTAAATATTGCCTCAAGAGATGTGATTCCGCACGAGATTTCGGAACAGGATAATAATCACAGAAAGTCCTCGAACGGACAAGATGGTCGAAGGTTAATTATTTAAAAATTCTTCGGAAATGCAATTAGCACGGAAAGCAACGTATTAATTAATTACATTTTCCTGGCTACAATCTCACGGAATGACACCTTTCGACCTGTTACTTTCACCGTACAGGCGAGAGCCACGTTCTCTTCGATGGTAGGAACCTGCTTAGGCGGATGGTACGATTAAAAATTACAACATCGCTGTAGAGGGAGAAAAGGGAGAGGCCTCGCGATATGGCACACGCGTGAACCTCGTGGATCCTTTTGTTGCGTGGTCGGTTATCCGGAACATTCTGCATTCCTTATCGGTCACGATAGGATTCGTGATTTATACGCTTGTCCCTTTGATTTCTCTCTTCAGAGAAGCGCGTGAGAATGTTGCCGATAAATTATTCGCGACTTTACACGCTTGGTGCTTGTCAAAAATTGTTTTTGCAACGTGCAATTTCAGTATCGTCCCTTCGTTCACGAAACTTCAATCATTACCAACGATTTCGTGTACCAATCTTAAGGCTCCAACTATAAGTTCCAATATTCAGCCTTCACTAGCTCGAACCTTCGAAACTAAATACTCTTTCTCTCTTCCTTGAGTTTCGTGTTCCGATTTCAGTCTTCAACCTCGAACTTCAATCATCATCCTTATGCTCGATGTCCACCCCGAACCCGTAACTTCGATCTTCAACCTCGAGTGAAATTAATCCCCTCTTTTCGCTCTAGAATCAATGGAAAGGTCAGTTCTTTCTACGGTTACATTTCTACTAAAAAATTAATCGATTTATTCCAGTTAATCCTAACTATTTCACAGACACACGTTAAAAAAAAAAGTCATAAGTAGACTGCGGATGTTTATGTAAATTTACAGTTTCGAACACTGGCATATGAAAAACAAAATTGCACAGAAGTTTGTTCCCTGTACTAGGGATTTTAATACGTTAATAATAATAAATAAATACAATTAAATTCTATTAGATCCTTTACTTTACTACGTTTTGCAAGTCAGAGTATGCTATAAATGCATAAAAATCCGCAGTCTAGTCATAAGGTTCTCTGCATCTTTGATTTGCTGTCCTTTAAAGTTCGAAACGTCTGTGTCTTCGCAACAGACATTCTGGCTCTGGGGTCCAGATAATCCCGTGACGACTACCGACCAATATCTCACCGTTCCCCATTCCCGTGTCCACTTAACACGCTCAAAAATCTGTTACCGTCTGAACGGGCCCGAGGAGAAAGGATTGAGTGCAAAAACCGTAACGGCGACGTTAATGAGCCCCGGTTGATTTAGTGTTCCACAGCTCCAGCGGCGGCGGCGTTAAAAAACGACTCCATCATTCTTTTCCCGCCTATTCGCGGCAATTCGGTTAAAGATGAAAACTGTCCCAAGTAATGGGGAAGAGAAAAAGAAGGAAGAACGACATCACGCACGAGCTCCTCGTAACACATCCGCCGATGCTTTTGACCCGGTGAGTTGTTTAAGGCCCTCGTGTTTTTCGGAATGACTGATCGTTCTTCTCGTCGTTCTTTCATTCTTTCCCTTCCCCAATCTTCTTCTCGCTCTGTTTTCCCTCGTTTTTATTATCTATCTTCTTTCACACGCACACGTGACTCCGCCCTCCACCGAGAAATCACGTCTAATTTTAATTGTTCCCCGCGACGTCGAGCCGCGTTCGACCAATCGTTTCCCCATGAAACTCCGGCTCCTCCGATCACTTTCGTTCCATCGTATCTGAAGACAGCCCTCGTGAATCACGGCTCTTCCGTGTGTTATTTCATCGTTGTTTATGGATTTTTTCACATTCCCCCAGTCTTCCCGAATTCATTCAGTTCTTCCGTCGTTCCACCCGAAGTTAATCACTCGTTTGCGATCCATTCGTTGAGATGAATCCCTCCAGAGGTTCGTTGGTCTTCTGAATTATTTTTCGTCTACTGTCTACGACCTCTATATCCACGCTGGTTCTTTCAGGTTCTTGTTCAGGGCACGACTAGGTTCTTCGTCGATGGCCACGGAAATGTCGCGATGGAGTACCTGTTTTTTTCTAAACTCGAAGGAGGCCACCCTTTGGGGGATCAGTAGAATCTACTGTACACTTATTTATAAGAGGAACCTTATTACTCTTAGAATTCTAATTGCTGATTTCTTATGTCCAGAGCCTGATCGTTCTGATTGTGAGATGTACGAGCAAAGTTGGCTTCCACTAGGGGAGGGAAAAAGTGGTGTAAGATAAAGACCTCCTACCAGTTGGTAAATTTATTTCAAATACTGAAATAAATATTAAATCGAATGTTAATTTGGCATAAATTTCAATAATTCCTGATACCAAATTTTAAGAGGCTCTTCTCCAATGCCACGAGTAAACCTGAGGTGGACCTGATTTTCCACATGGAACTCTGATCTTGTTGGAACCATGTCAGTCTGTCCTAAGGTCAGAGTTCAGATTGACGTCGAGGAAACTCTCTCTGCAACTCTTTGCCTCTCTGAAGTCGAACTGATTCTGTACTGTACGTGGCTGAATTGACTCTTAACGCTGAATTGACTCTTAATTGCATCGTGACTGGAACTGACTCCGACGCTGAACTCGGTGTGACATTCTATTATTCCTTTTTTTTTTTTGTTTCGGACATAAAGAAGGCAAGAAAGTCTTGTCTATTTCAAAGCTGTTCACAAGAGGTCCCCGGAGATGAGAACATTTCATCTTCGATTCATTCCCCTCCCTACATCGCGTTTAAATGAATTCCCGTTTCCATTGTCACGCGACCAGCGGGCGTTTCACAAGTTCATTCAATTAACAGCGTCCGCAACAGCGGGGGCCGCGTTGACGGTTTTTATATTACTTTCTTGCCCCCCTCCCCCTTTATCCCACCAGATACGCTTTATTGTTTGCTTTATCATAAAAATTGCTCGTACCCGGTGTCCTCCTCGACGCCCCTTCTATTCAGGAACTATAATAAACTTTCCACGGGCGTTCTTTCTTTCCCAAATCCTCCGTGTTTCGTCGGTTTTCTAGCTATTTCTCTCCTACCACTCGTTCAGCCACCTTATTTTCCGACCTCTGTACCGGGCCACGGATTATTTTTCCATGGTGCGAACCTGGAACGCAC